ACTTTCTGTTGCCTCGGCTTCTGCCGCCACCGGAAGAGCGCAAACATCTTCATCTGTGCTAGAGTCCACAGGATCTATCAGGGAAACGTCATCGTCTTCGTTTGAAGTAACTTCGGAGCCTTGTTGACTTCTGACCTCAATCAAGCTTTCGGTTGCCTCACCTTCTGTCGTCACCGGAGGAGCGTAAACGTCTTCATCGGTGCTGGAGTCCACGGGATCTTCTTTGCAGTACCTTTCTAGTTCCCTCTGAGCGTTTTGCGCGATTCTTCTTTTCTGGCGATCGGACAATTCCGACAGCGAACGCTTAACGCGCTCCACTCTCCACAATAACAAGTAACAAAATATCACGTACCTTGTTTTGTGTTATTTGCAGGGAGAACGGCGATTGAACGATAGGACGATGGTGACGATGGTGCGGATAGCACTTTCAAAAGCCTCGGCCTTGCGCGGGAACACTACCGGCTGCGCAAACAAAAGAAAAGTGCTACTTCTGGCTATGGCTAGAGACGAAAGGCCTAGAGCCCGATAGAGTCCAGAATGGCCCCGCTTTTGATCATTTTATTAACGTAAAAATAAATAATTTTATTGTATATAGTATCTAATAACACGTATAATTTTTTTATTTATAAAATTGCTTTTAATCACTTTAGCACTTTAGTCGATAATAAAGTTTGGTTGTGTTGGTGAACATTGGTCGACGTCGCTAGGTGACGCAAGCTACCGCTCGTTACTACTCGTTACAAAGGGTATTTATCTATCCAGGCAGCGTACACAAAATAAAAAATGGCAGCCGTGTTTTCCCGTTCTTCCTTTTTCCAAGCGTTTTTCCGATGACACCGATTGAGAGCAGACGAAGTGATCCGCGTACAAGCTTTTCATCATCAGAAGTTTAAAAACTCAGGTTTACGAGTGCTACATCTGTGCATACTCTTCAGATGTGTGAGTTCATATCGCGGGTGACGAAACTGTAGAACGGAAGCTTTGCGAGCGCTCTACACGGCCCTCGTACTTCCCATTTTGGACTGGAGTATTGCTCGGCGACCTGGTCCCCGCCCCAGCAGCACCTCTGGGAACGGCTCGAAAGTGTGCAGCGCCGTGCGACACGGATCATCTGTGGCACAGCGGACGGCTCGTACGATGCACGCCTGGTGTGGGTGCCCTTGGTCGGCGACCCCCCACGAGAGGCGACGGGCCTCACGGATGCGTGCACTGTGCCGGATGCTCGATGGACCGCTTTCCGGGATCTTGTTGTCCTCCGCAGTGCGGACAAGCAAAAGAACTGGGCAGCCTGAGCCTCTCCGTGGGAGGACCACCCGCCACTGCTAGCTCTTCTCTCGCCAACTGGCTTTGAGCTCGTGACGACCAGTGACTTGCACCATTATTTTTCTTGTTGCTGTGTGTGCTTGTTTTGTTTTACCCTACTGAGTCCCCTTTCTCCTGTCTCCTGCACTGTAGGGGGCGGCCTGCTAGTAGGCGCATATGCATAAGGGTTATCACCTTCTTGTCTAGCCTTGCACGTCGTCGCATACACGTCAAATCCGTGTGCAAATAAATTACAATCGCAGTTACAATTACAGAAACAAAAACAATGGTGACAAGTATTCCTGCACAACTATACACTGCATTGACCCTTAAATAAGGTGCAGCGAAGGCTACAGCCTCTAGACCGCAGCTTTGCAGCGTGAGACGGCCCTTTGGACAAGAGTGAGCGAAAGGGCACGTGGTGCATGCATCCTGCTTCGTGGGCGCTTGCTCACTGGGGCCATTCGAAAACTTTTGAGCTTGCTCGTGCTGCATGCAGGTGTAGCTCTACCAAAACTGAAGCGGCAATTGGGGAGACTGTGCATTCCGTTTACTATTTCTGATTACTGGGAGGCCATGCTCCGTCCATTTTAATTAAATATTCATTAGTCAATTCAGAAATTACTTCAGTAAAACCAAACTGCTACATCCATTCAATGCAGCCCTTTACACACAAAAGTAGAATACTTCCCAGAACATAGTCTGCAGACTATACATGCCTAAAAGTTAATATTTCACTCTGCAGACTATCTGCAGGTGCAGAGGATACAATACATTTTGTGTCTTTCGTTCTAGATATTTTACAATACAATATTTACAATATGTTTTGCTTTGCTTAAGTGAGAAACAGGTCATACTGTCAGTGTGTCGTCCAGGCCTTTGATGTCTTGGGGTTGACAGGCTGTTAGCTTAAGTGCCTCCAGGCAATCTTTGTTTGTCAAGCTTAATCCTCATGAGCTCTGTGATTCACCACGACAAGCGGGCTCAAAAGGACCTCTCCCCATAATGTGGACCGTCTAAGGAAACAGATATTCAGTTTGAATTTGCCCCTGTGGACTATACACCGAGTGGGGACTGTATAAGAAAAACACTTTTTTCGAGCCAAAATTAACCCTTGTGGGCTTCACGCCGGGTGCGGACGAAGAAATATTGTAGCGGTTTATTTTCTTAGGGCATTGAGACATTACAGAGTGGAGTGGACAGAAATATCTAATTGCAAACAAACACATTAAAAACTAAATCAAAATATTGTTAACAAGACCCCGAATTCATTATCACACTGCATCTTTAAATTCGGTGCAATCAGCTATGCCAGCGATAAGTACGGAGAGATGATTCTTGCCTAGTGATGACATAGGCGGGAATGACTGACAATAGGTGGAGGTTTGACAAAGGGGGATGTCATTGTGGTGGTGGATCTTATGAAATAAATACAGGCGAGATATGTTTCTGCAGACAGAAAGGTGTGTTGTCCCCTCAAGTTGCGGGATGTTTTTGTAACATTTTATAAGTTATCACAGATGCATCTCCTTAATGTTACCTTTGAAACATAGGCTCTTTGTTTCTGGATTATATTGCCCTAACATTTCTGCAGCAACATTTCAGTAACATACGTAAAAGTAGTGTAACGTTGCATCTCACTTGTCTAACATTGTGTTGATGTTTCGAAATAATGTTTTTGCAATATGGTTTTAGTAATATTGTCGTTACATTGTTACACGTTGCATAACGTTGCACAACATTAGCCACGTTGCAGTAACGTTCCTGCAACATCTCGTGCTACTAGGCACAGTTGACATATCTGCTATTCGAAGTTTGCCAAAATTAACTGTTTTTGTCACTTTTCACGTGAGCATTCCGAAAAAAGTTTAGGCCATATTACGATGAAATTTAGCGTAGCTCTTTCGACCGTAGTTGCAAACACATGTAATAAGTTTCAAATAAAATGACCGAGTAGGCGGCCAAAAATTCACGACTGAATGTGCTTCCTCGAGGTAAGTCTTTTTTTAAAGTAAATATCTGTCAAAATAAAATGAAAAACGGAAAAAGGGCCTCTGTTGACAATGAACGCACTCTTCTTCTATAACATTGTAAAATTTGAAAGAAATTGCTCCAATTGTGCACCCTGTACCACTGTATAGAGCACTATATAGCTCCTTCGGAGCAGAGTAGCGCAGAGAGTAGCGCAATCTAGAACGCCGCCTCTCGGCGACTAGCGGCGAACGCCCGGAGGTTCCAACTGCGGTCAGAAATGCATGGAGAACGTGAGAAAATCGTTGTTTCTTCAGTTTTGTGGGGATGTGCGGAATGGAAATTATTTTTGACATAATAATGAAACATTTTAGAATAATATGCGATAAGTTTTGTGCCATACAAGGACGTAACTTTTTTAAAAAAATTGCCTGAGCGGCATCATGCAGCAGACGACACGGCGACGTCACACCATTCACGTGACCCGCTCCGGCCAACCCGAAAAGCCCATCTCCGCTGCGAGCAAAAATCGTCTGCTTCAAACGCCATTGCCTTGGAAATTGCCTTCTCAAAATTTGCACACGCATCCAATATTATTAAAACTTTGATAAAGCGTTTAGCGCTTTACTAACTTCACGACAGGCTAGTTTTGAAAAATGTGAACTCGCCGTTAGTTTTTTAATCAGCCGTGTTATGTCGATCTCCATGTATTCTCCCATAGGGCGGGCCGCCTCCTGGAACCCTGAGTACCACGTGACTCGCGCCGAGCCGCTCTGTCGGCCATGTTGTCGGCAAAACACGGGGTTCAAAGGATTGCGCTACTCTGCTCCGTAGGAGCTATATAGTGCTCTACCACTGTACTACGAAACCATGTTTTGCCGAAAAGGCCCATGCTCGCGGGTGCCCACTGATTTAGCGTTTTGCACTAGGAAAAGAAATCCTACATCAGAAGAAAGATAATGTTGTAGTACAAGATTATATATAACAGATAATTTTAGCAAGCTTGAACACGCCACAATCGCATTTCGAAAACGTGCGGAAAGCGTCATAAGTCATGGCCGCCGTGGGACCGCAGCCTTAAGGCTGCGGTCCCACGGATTTGCGGGTACAGCCAGTCATACTTACCCATTGGGTCAGCAAAATCTCAGTAGAATCTGAGACTTTTTCTTCGGCCATTCACACATGAAATAAACACATGTCTGTTTATTCTTTCGTGTGTAAATGAACTTTTTGTGTTTATTTTACCTGTTTATTGTTTCCTGTGTAAATTAACTTTACCAACACGCTCGGTTTTTAATGACTTCTGTTGGGCCAATGAGAAAATGTGCAAGTTCTTACACAGTGAACTGGGACCCATCCAAGCCCTCAATTTGAGCCCTAAATCATGGGCCTTTGTAAGTAAAGCACAGTTGACATATCTGCTCACAAATGTCAGTTATTTATTGTTTTGACTGCATTAAAATTGAGATGTTCTCCAAATCAAACTTGCAGTGAATGTAAGTTTGGCTGCATAAAGAATTCTGGGGCTTGGTGGCCTTTTCCGAACGAGGAGAAACTGCGCAGAGCACCGTGGCATAATAAAATAGATGAAACATTTAATTCATAAGGACATAATTGGTGAAGGTATTTACAAACACTTGGTCAAGCAGAAAATACTGACTCATATGAAAGTTAAAAACATGCAGAGAGAAACTTTGAAGAGAACCTAGATACATTTAAAAGATATATGCAGCTGCAAAATAATTTATTATTAAATTGTGGTTATGCAATTCCACGACTTAGGGGAGGGGTTTGAGGAATGAAAGGTGGGGGCACGGGGGAGGAAAGCGGTGTGTACCAAGTTCCTAAGGCAGTATGCGGTGCTCGGGTGGCTCTGCTGGCGAGTGCTGGTAATGCCCGTAAAGCGGGGGACCGCGTCGAGGTGCGCGGGGGCCCCGGCGGCCCCACGGGCGCCTTCCCCAGCCCGAGGGCGGTCCAGTCCGCACGCGTATCACAGTGGACTGCGGGGCAGCTGGGACCCCGCTGCGGCGGTGCGAGGGGGCGGTCGGGAGGCTCCAATGGGTATATATTACTAGCTCTTAGAATAATGTTCGATATACTCGAGGGAGAACTTTCCGTTGTTTGTCCGGCGAGCGAGTCTGCCCGCGCCACGGGGAAGGCTGGTGCAGCTGGGTTGGAAAGTGCCCGGCTCTCGGGCACCCGGGTGTCGGCAGGCCGCGCGAAAGCGCCGGGAGGGGACGGGGGACGTCGTTCTGGGAAAGCTCTGGGACTACAAAAATAAAGGAGTATTTGAGTGGGGTCGGAGCTCCTCGCGCTCTGCCACCTCTCTCGGTCTCCGCGCGCGACGTGGCGAGAGGTGTGCATTGCTGAAGCAACGAGTTGTTCCCCGGTAGCGAGTGGACGAGCAGATACGCAAATCCTGGCAGTACTCGCTGGTTTGTTCCTGCGGGGGTGGAGGGTGAGGGTGGGTCGAAACGGCTCGCTTTCCGCGTGTATGCGCGTTTCTCTTTTTTTTTTCTTTGGTACGTCACTGCCGGTGGCACCGTGGCTGTCGTCGTGAGATCCATACCAAAGCGTGCAAAGACCAGGAACGAGGGTGAGGAGGAGGAAGAGGGAGGGGTGGGGAGGGTGCGCAGGTGTCCCGCCGCTCTCTCCCCCAGGGGGGGCTCCGTTGCCGTCGTCGTTGTCGTCACCGGGCGTCTCCATTCACCCTTTGCAGGAGGGTTGCCGCTCGCTGCCGCACCCCCGGGCACACACACGCGCACGTGCGCCACTCGTGCGGCGGCGGTCGCGCGTCTGCGTCCGATACCACGTCTTGCCGTCCGTGCGCAGTGGGCATGCCGGGGAAATGTCACTTTGGCACGTTGGACCTTGTGCGCCTGCCTCCGAGTGCGAGAACCGACCGGGCGCGGTTCCGTCCGAGGGCGCCGGGCACCGCGACGTCAACTCGCATACGGTCTCTCGGCCGCCTGCCGGACGAGCGCGTGCCGGGAGGGAAGGGGCTCCCGAGCCTGGCTGTGCCCCCCACCTGTCCCGTTGTGGTCCTTAGCAGAATGACGACGCTGCTTTTCTTGGCTCCACGCAGGGAGCCGAGATGAGTCCTACTTGGGCCTGTGGATGTAGCGCAGCACCAGGTACCCCAAAAGCCGAAATACAACGAGGAAGCTGAGGAGGACGAGCGTGTTTGCCCAGATGGGAAGCGGCGTCCCGTGGTCCCCAATGATGTCTTGGGCAGGGATGATGGTGCCACCCGTGTGGCAGGCACGGAAGTGAGAGTTCTGCGACAGGCACCTGCCGATAGAGGAAGGGGCCTTAGAAAGCTGCTGAATGAGTCGCACAAACAACATTTCCTAAAGGGGAGGTGCAACATCTTAATTCCCCTTCCGTGTGGCTTTTAGTTAGAACATTTTAGTGAAAAACCTGAGACTGAAATATTGACAGATGATGACAAGGAAAAGAAGGAGAATGTCTCAAACACAGCTCTGTGTTTGAGACGTGAGCTGTGTTTGAGAGCTGTGTTTGAGACGTTCTCCTTCTCTTCCTTGTCATCATCTGTCAATACCTCAGTCTCGGGTTTTTCACTAAATTGTTTGATATACACCAGCTCATTGGCTTTAGTTCGCTGTATGCTGACAACATTACAGTGAATTGCTTCAAAGCATATGTGCTACCGCAGTTTAGCAATTGTTTAGGTGGTTAAGGACACTCACAAGTGCAGGTCCCGTTGAACTTCAATAGTGAAATGTTTACAACTGTCCCAGTTGTTCAATTTGCCTTCCTGGCTGTTACGTTCAAAAACAGTCCGCCAATAGCCGTCGCAAATATGTCGGACAGCCCGGCCATAGAAACCATCTTCCATTCCCACGTACATCCCCCCTTTATTTCACCTCTTCGTCTCTGGATTGTGCTTCTTAATTATTGCTCAGAAGCATGACGTTGCACTAAGCTTGGAAGGGATTCAGGTTTTCAGAATAGCCCACACAATTTAAATTTCCATCTTTATCTGCTTGTGAATGAGCATCTGCCCTTCTGCTGCACTTGGTTACTTGGGTTCCCCTAGTCTCACCTGGTGTGGAGTTTGGAGTTTGTGCCCTTTGGCGATCACAAAGTAACAAAAAAGGAAGACTTTCACTTGTAAGAAAAGGTTGATACAACTCCTCATTTCTCAGCGTTCTTCCTAGTCGTTGCTGCAATTGCTGCGGTGTCATGAGCAACGAGCTAAAAGTTCCCATAGATCCACTTGGAATTCCAAGTGGTTTTAATTGGAACCAATTGGTTTTAGTGGATTCCAATTGGAAGTACACTGGCCAATGGGTCTCACCAATTGAAATAATTTTTCCTGTTGGAACTTGAATAAGTACCAGACGGTTCTCATTGGTTCCCATTGGCTTCAATTAGCAGCTAGATTTTCCAACAGCCAATTGGTCACCGCCAATGGGAACCAACTTAAACCATTTGGAACCCATTCAGGTTCCAACAGAAAAAATTATTCCAATTGGTGAGACCCATTGGCTATGTGCTTCCAATTGGAATCTACTAAAACCAAATGGGTTCAATTAAAACCGGTTAGAATTCTAATTGGATCTAATGGGAATTTTTAGCTGGGTTGAAAAACAGAATAGTTCCCAGAGCAGTGAAAAACCATATGAGATCAATTGTTGTATAAGAGTTCCCTCCTGTCTCGCCTACAGTCACAAAAGCATTATGCAGTCGAGCCCGATTACATTGAACTTCGGTATTTATAAATAATTGTCTATATAAAACAGTCGAAGCATCTTCTCTGAAATCTCATTAAAAGTATAGGTGCCTTGCGTGTCTGTATCATACTCCGCCACTGAAGACAATCAGTACATCAACCGTGCAACGCACCCCGTGGTAGAGGGGCTTTTTCCGAACACTGCTGCTGCTGCGCGGTTCAGCTGAAGATAAACGACTCTGGTCACAGGCAGTGAAGGGAGTAGAGGCAGAGGAGAAAATCAATACTCTGCCTCAACTCCTCAGCTCCCACAATAAAAAAAAATATAATAATAGTCTTCAGCTAGTCAAGAGTGTCCACAAGGGTTGTGCAATGATGCCTTGAACCCCCTCTTTATCTTTAATTATCCTGTTCTTTTGCCGTTTATTTCTGTTTTTTTTTTTTTTGTTAGATTTTATACCAGTCCTTTTTTTTTTGTCACTTGTTTGACTTTTCTACAGATGACGAGAAAGAGGAAAGATGTTTTGTCCTGTCTTTCTCCTTTATGTCACTTTCCTTTTATCCCAGAGATTTGCTTTTTTCACATGTTACATGTCCTGCTCTTCTGCCTTTCTCTTTCATTTTTATTTACCTTTTGTGTTCTGCCACCCATGCTGCGAGGTCACGCAATGCGTGCGCATAGGAGCATGCGCGTGAGCGGTGGTGCCAGCGATTCTCACTAGCTGTGCTGTAACAATGTTCTATTGTATTTAGCGGTTCTTAGATGCTTTACATGGAAAGTAACTGTTTGTCACCACCGTCGGTATCGGTAAACACGCGAGGAAATTTCAATTAGAGACTAAGTTAACACTATTTTGTATATGAAATTATTGGTATATCAAAATATTTTGTGATGCCCTTTGAACTTGATATTTCCAGGTTGAACTGTACCGACTTCCTACATCCTATGTTTTCCTTTTTTATCAAGGGAGGCTCATTATAACACAAGTTTAAAGCAGGCTTCCTGGTGCAAAGCAGATGGTACATAGTCCTAAAACGTGGTCTGCAAAAAGTTTAAGACGAAACCCACTTTCACCAAAATGAGCACAGCAAAATTGTTTTCTTTCAGCCGATTAGTGGCTGAGAATTACACAACATAGTCTATTCTATTAGTGATATAATTTGGTCCACACAGGTGCAACTATTCCAGAAAGAAACCTCATGCATATTCAAATTTAGCTTGTACTTCAATAGAACCGGGTTATTTTCCTCCAAAGACAGATGCGCCACAAAAGTAGGGCGGTGCGATCACTCAGGCTCTGGAAGGATGGTTGGTGCACACCTGACGTCTGGCCCGCTGCTAAACTCCACAATGTGCATGTTCTGGAAGGCATAGTGCACCATGGAGAGGTACTGGAGCCAGCGCATCCAGGGAGGCAGGGAGGATGCGTAGTAGCCTCCGAAGAGCATTGTGGAGAGGGAATAGAGGGCAGACACCGTCACGGACACCTGGAGGTCCGTGCAGGTCGCACCAATGAACAGGCCCACGCTCTGCAGGAGAGGCACACGAGGGGCATCAGCACACAAGGAGAAACCAGCAAAGCAGTGGCGCCCCAATAAAAGTACCCTATTTATTGTAGAATAGCTCAACCTCTTTATGTACAATGCCCGTGCGCGTATTTCACTTCAACGCTCGAGAGGAGCCAATCATTGCGATTTATGGAAGAGGCCCAGCGAATGATGAGGCACCGATGTGTTGTCAAAGCGCAAAAGAAGTTCTGTGTGGATTGCAACTCTTTTTTCCAAACGTTATCTCTCTTTTTCCGTTCGTCGGCTTCTTTTGTAAGTTAATTTTAATGATTGGTCTCCGTGGGTTTTGCGGGAAAGTAGACACACAGGCATGCTCATAGAAAGCTCGACCTATATATATACGGTATTACTTTTTTAAGTTTATGCACAGCAATATATATAAATCTTTTTATATAAGGTGTACACAAATGGCTTGAATGTAATCTTGAGGTTTGTCCATGTAATACAACAGTAGATATTGAGTCCATGTTTTGGAAGGAAAAAAATATAAACTGAACTCCTGGAGCATTCGCATTCCATAAGATACCGAGCATGTGCCCATGTTACAAAATGTACCCGCCCGCTACTTCTGAAATGTTTAAAAAAACAAGTGAAGGGCATGCTAGAAAGTGCCCACTCCAGACTTCCGAGCAAACCTAGAGTAGCTAAATGGCTGTGCCAGAATACTGCCTTCCATTTTCTTTCTCTGCCAACTCCTCATTGGTGGAGAAGGAATCATATGCTGCAAATTTCACTACAAAGCTTCTGGGGACGAGGCCTTCTAGATTACCAGGTTTCGGGTGGGACATATTTCTCGCTCTGCGTTCGCGAAATATAGAGCTTGCACTAAAGTCTGATGAGCAGGAAGCTTCTTGAGCCTTCGGACATTGCGTGTGCCACTTGGACATGTGTAATTGTGTTCTTTTTATAATGTGAGCGCCGTTTGAAAACGGCCATGTACAAGCAGATGACATGACAGTGTACCACCTTTTATACTAAGTGCTTGCTATTTGTAGACATGTCAAAATAAAGATTCTTATTAGTCGAGCCCGGTTATATCACACTTGGGTATTTCGAATTATTGTTTATATTGAACAGTCCAAACATCCGCTTGAAAATCACATGTAATAGTATAGGAGCATTGTTTTTCTGTATCGTAAACGTAAATTTGGGACAACTCAAGACACAAAAGTTAATAAAAGGTGAGAGAAATCACTTGGCAGATGTCTAGTAGTAGCTGGTCCTATTATTGGGACATTGTTTAAATCAGAACATGTCCCAAAAATTCTAGCGCTACTGATAACATCATGTGCTCACTGTCTCACTGATGACGGCTAATGACCATTGTCTCATTGATATGGCATGACCACTTTTTGCTGATGGCATCATGTGACCACCATCCCATTGATGATGTAACATGACTACTGTCACGATGATGTTATGTGACCGCCATTTTGCAGATAGACGTCAAGAAATAATGACCACTGCCATATGTTGACAATGACATGAAACCACTGTCTTGATGATGTCCCATGACTACCGTCTCACTGATGACATCACATGACCACTCGGCTCATTCGATTTACCTGCACCAGCCTGCAACGGTGCAGAAAATGGAGGGCAACATACTTCTGGGTTGCGTTTTCAAATAGGTTGCACTCGTAAGTCAAATACGGCGCACAGCAGTATGGAACGGGTGCGGCTGGTAAGCATAAATTGAATGAGCCTACTGCCACGCTGGCAACGCCATGAGACCACCATCTGCTAAATTTAGGGATGCAAAATTTCTAAAAATTTGAAAACCGACCAAAACAAATAGGAGTTTTTCCTTGATTTCAAAATTTCCTCAGCAAGAGTAATCCAGCAATGTTTTGAAAGATACCGACATAGATGAACAATGGTAAGAGTTTCATCAGCTGTGGCACCAGTACTATTACCTTACATTATTTTTCTTTATTTGTAAATGCTGGGGACTCATGTTAGAGTCCAAGCAGGAGTGAGCATCACAATATAAACATGATATACAACACCGAGAAGACATCAATACCAGCTGCAAGACTTAAGAACAAAGTAAACTTGAAGGAAAAAATCAACAACAAAAACATTAAAAAACAATCACATGAGCACAACTTTCAAATTTGAAATAAATTCTTCGACACTGGCACTTTCTACTAATATCTTTTGGCAGCTGGTTCCATGCGGTTATTGTGCTTTTTTTGTGAAAGCTCGTCAATTTAGCATATCTTTGACTACACATGGCAATAGCAATACGGGGAGCAAGTTGTCTGCTTCTTGAACAGGGGTTGCGATGATGTCAGAACGCCAAGCTCTTATTAACTGATTGAAAAAAAAAAAAAAATAGTGGGTAGACCTTAAGGCATCTAGCATTTAGGTCTACCCACTATCCTTTCGATCAAAGCCAATCAGAGCCCGGCATGGTTCTGAGGTCACCGCAACTCCTGTGCAAGAAACAGACGACTTGCTCTCCGCATACTCTTCATTATATACTAAATACTGTACTGGGTTCACTGTAATGCTTAACTTGCAATCACCGGTCGTCAAATATGATGCTATATTACACAAAAGTATGTATATGATGGTGCTGTAGAGAAAGCTTGGTTGCATTCTAAACTAATCCCATGGTTTTCGTTGACTAAGGGAGCGACAGACAACGTATTAACTGAGAAATATGTGATAGATGACATAAAAAATTGGCTTCTTCACACGCATGCACGCACTACAGAACGAACATCGGGCAGCACTAATTAAGTTATCACTACTCTGTTTTAAAGTTTCTGAAAATTTATTTTTATAATATCTTTGACATTTATAGCTATACTTATGCACAATTCATACTGAACAGCAAAACAATGCTCATTTGGTGTCTGATTTTAGGGCAAAGCAAACAGTTTCATGACGGATAGAGGGAGCAGACAACCACAACCGCCTGTGTTTCCTCCCTTTTTCTCCTTCGCTCTGTCACCACACCTGTTCTTTTTCTTTTTATAAGGTAATGAATCTAAATATGATATAGTGTGTTTAATCTTGCACCTGAACTGCGACGAAGTGATGTGCGATATGATTATTATTAGTTTTCACAGTGATTACCTGATGTATTATTTTACCGTATGTTGCAGAAATTCGCATAATAGCTGCTTGTTAATAATTTCAATAAATTTGGTCTCATCTTTTATCTCCTTTTTTTTCGTTTTTTTTTTGTAATAAAAAAAATATTTCCACAATTTTTTTCTGAGCTCTTATATTTAGCTATAAATTTGGTGGGTAGCATAGCAATGCCAATTTTAGTGCGCTTTTCAGACATCTGTCAAGGTGCCCCTTCCCACAGTTTCCACCAATTAAGGTGCCCTTCCCCTTCCCTCGGCAAACATGCTCTCCTCTTCCCCCAGGTTTCAACAAATAAGAGGGCATGCTATCAAGCTGCGACAGACAGATGAACCTAATCTCACGGTTTGGTGGCCTCAGAAATGCTATCACATAAAAAAAATCCAAACAACTATACGAGGTATGCTACAATTGAGAGTGGTAGCTGTCAAATTGTTGAAAGCTGTCCTTTAGGAGAGCTGGTTTAGTTGATATGCTTTACGATATTTACTTCAGGAACTCTCAGACTGGAACAGAGATTCACTTGGAAAGTGCGGCCGTCAGGTCTTTCGGAAGCCACGACGAGTACCCTACCCAAAAGTACTTTAAGCACTCACGAGTACCCAAAGTACCCAAAGGGGTTGTACTCAGCGAGGTTATTTTCAAAGGGGTAACAAGGTGCCCCTTCCCACAGTTTCCACCAATCAATTCCTGGACAACCCAAGGGGGTTGTCCAGGAGTTCCCTCTGAAATTCACTGGTCGCTGCAGCAAGGAGAAGGATGTGGAGCATGTCCCGCAGCCTCCGCCACTTCGTCTCCTACTTGTGCTCCCGCAGCTCGTCATGTCCGACGAACCATTGACGCTTTCTTTTTACCTCTTCCTAGTGAACATGGGAGACTCGAAGCTTTTGGCACTTACACGCCGCCTCTCGCACATGATAGTAGGGGTCTTGTGCCCTTTGCTGCTCTCATACCACTGCGCCCCTCCGTCTGCTAAGCTCACCGCGGCATGTTTGGCATTCCCACTCATAGGATGGAGGGCGAATCTTGAGTGGCCAGGTCGCACCTGGTAGGGAGGAAGATTAAACAAGCACCCCCCAGGGTTGCGTCTCTTTTTTAGACGCACAGAGAATTGTCCAGTTCACCGCAATAGCAGCGGCAAAAGGGGGGTAGAGGGTGGCGATGTCTCGCCATAGATGATGTTCTTTTGTGTACGAGGACAGACGACGATGGGGAGAGAGATAGCGAGACACGGTTATACTACTCTCTCTCCGCAATCAGGTGAGTTTTTGCACATGAGAACGTCAGGTTTCACCAGAAAGGGTCACTTGCTGCTGCCGCCATAAAAAGCTGTACCCTCAGAAGAGAGAAAGCCTGGCTATTCAAACGGTCGCGTCAATTCGGCTTAAACTCGCAGACGTGCCAAAACTCCGCCTACCTGCGAGACGACTGTGCTGAGCACCAGGAACCCCCAGAGGCTGAGGAAGGTCTGGGCGCTGTGGAAGCCCAGCATGGGATAGGCGATGAGGTGGAATGCAGACGGCAGTGTCACGGTCAGGGGCAGCTCCCCGATCATCTTGGCAAGGTAGTAGGCCGACAGGCGGTAGGCCCCCGACGCCCGCTCTTTATTGATCACTTCGCGCTCGGGAGGAACTGCACATATAGGCGGTGGGCCAGGGGTCAGGGCAGTTGGTCCGGGGCACACCTAGAGCCACTGAATGAGCTAGAGTACAGACACTCCATTCTCCGTCTTGTAAACGCCACTATTCAGTTGCTCGGTACAGAGTGGGCACAACTGGCAATAGTTAATTAATTGAAATTTCCGCATCCTGTCCTTTTTGTGCGGTACCATGAAGCTGGCGAGGACGAAAAAGCGTTTCTTGCAATTTCACATAAAACTCGAGATAATTGGCCACAATATGATATTAATTTTAATTAAGCATCAAGATGGATGAAGTGTCGTTAATATGAAGAATAGTTAATTTACTGGCTCTAGGCGTGCCTCCATTGGTAAACTGGTAACACACAAATCCACAGGTGAAAGTCGGGTGCAGGTGGGGAAGTGAACCCTCCGACTAAAACTAAACCTGAAGGTTTACGAAAGAGGAGACAAATAAAATGGCAGGGGTACTCGGTCTCAACATTGAGAGCTTACCCTACATACTTTTAGATCTTCTGTGTTTTGGATCTTGGTCACCAAAAAATTCAAGAAAACCGACTCTGTTTTGTTTTGTTTTTTTTTGCTAAGAAAGGCTTGAAGCTTTCCATGTTTCTATAACCAGAATTAAAGTTATGCGAAAAAGGATTTGAACCTTGTCTTTCTAGGGCAGTGACTTGACCTACAAACTACAAGCATTCTATAAATGCATATTATCAGTGTGTGGGCCCTGCTTCTCTTTGGAAGTCTGATCAAGATTTACATACTTCCTATCTGGAGTGTTTCAAACATAGAAAAAGTTATGAATTCGTCAATTCTATCAATCTTAAATTTCTTTCCACCACAGCCTCTTCGAATTCTTTTGCGCTGATAATCGACTTTTCACTGTAAAATTCATGCAGATAATTTGTAGTTTTGTAGTGTTTCTCAAGCAAATATCTTTAAAGGTGCAAACGAACACCCTTTCAGCTCAGCTTAAACTAGGGACCCTATGCTCTTCACTGGTTTGCAACGCTGCATTTTTAATCTCATGAAAACGCCAAAGTTTCAGACTTGTAAACTGATATGACATTTGTTGGAAGAATGCTGGTGTAAGGGCAGCTGGGTGTCTTTCACACATATTTTAAGAATGACTGCAATGATTGTCCACATTAAATATTGCTACCTTCTAAATAAAAAATATATGAAATTACTAGTTAGTGATTTTCTTTTCTTTAGCTTTTCTTTAAAGCTTTTCATTAAAGAGATATTAAAACAGAGGTTGGCAGCAGAAATCCAGAAGATCACTCTTCTTTCTTTATGTGATCATGTCACCAGAACATCCCAGGACCTTCATGGAACGTGTCTGGATCCTAAGCCATTGGCTGTAGCATTGTATCATTCTTTTTCTTTTTAATGCTTTACTACTTTCAAGCCTATGCGCTCTCGCGTTCCATCTCTGGCAAACCCAACATAGAGGATGGTATGTTGCCAAATTATTTTCTATTTGTTTCAATAAAGGGTGTGGCTGTTCAGTCAGAGAAAATATGGGAAGTTGCAAAAGAAATTAATGGGAGCCCCACAAATGTTTTTTTAGCAAGTACCAGTGCATGTAAACAAAAACTGATTCCTGTCTCATGCGTTATGAGCATTTTCTAAAGTGAACTATAAAATTTCATGCTACCGTTTTCTTGCACCTATAATATATTTAATGCAAAATAAGAAAACATTTTGTTCTTATATTTAATTTGCATACTTGGTCAAGAACCGTTGATTACTATACATGCCAGCTGCATTGTTTAAAAAGCGGAATAGCGAAAATACCGATTCATTTCATCAAACCTAATTGACAGCTAATCATATTTCTTTCAGTCCATTGGGAGTGGACTTTTGAGTGGGACAACTTACTGTGGCAAATCACAAATAGCGAAGGGTGCGCGTGCATAGCTGTGACCAGCACTCAGGATCTGCGAGATCACAAGCCGCAGCCTTTGACTGTATCGCTTCATTTTCTTCACAAACTACAACATAAATTGCGAAAGAAGAACAAAGACCAAAGCTCACTGAGTGACTGACGAATGGTCTGCCAGACTTGAAACATTTCTGCATGATTATTAAGGCCAAGGGGAGCTTTTTATTACAATGCTTTCAAAACCACCATGCTTCAGAGTCGATCTGCTGAACAAAAGCATCATATTTTTAATTAGGGCACCAAAATACCAAACAAAAACAGCAATTTTTTTTTTTTATTTTAAATCATTGGAGCCCAGATTTTTGCCAATCTCGTGTTTCTTGGCACTTTCCGGTCAGTGGTAAAATGTGCACTTGAATCTCTTAGCTCTTTCCATATGGGGACAGAGCTGACTTTAGATAGAGTCAATATTAGGAGAAGGGGTAGGTTGTGAAAAATGATCAGTGCATAGTATATGCCTGTAACTTAAAAAAGCCTAGTGGCACAAAGAGAAGGGGCACAAACACTTTCGTTAAAATGTAATCACTAACACGAAATGGCAACACGGGGGTACCACAAAATGCCGAGCATGCGCCCATGTTGTGGTAAGTAGCCACCCTCTAGTTTTCGATTTACAAGCAAAAGACATTTTGAGCGCCCAGTCCAGCAAATTTCTGAGCCCGCCGAGTCAAGTAAGGTACTCCTCTGTGTCAGCTGCTTCTAAGAGAAGCTGATGCAAGGCATCGAAGCTTTATGCACGTGCACCGGTACAAAGTGCTGAAGCTTTATGCGAGAGCCCCAGTGCGAAGCAAGCTAAGGAGTTCCAACAGAAACGCTATACTGCTCAGATACTATACCATCGGGTTAAAGAAAGGCGTACCCTACCATGTTGTGCCCCTTCTGCTTTTCTGCTCTCAGACCTAACAGGCAGCCATCCCTATTTTTTTATGATTATTTCTAACTTTTGGGAGGGTGCTTGCTCAGTACATTACGGTAATCTGCCAATATTGAAAGGAAGCTCTGGCTCTTGCCGTTTATTATGTTCCAAGCTTAGAGTTTTGCCATGGTATCACAGATGTCGTAAGCAGGACCGAAATGCTGGTGCAGCAGGGATCCTATGGGTGTAGAGGTAGGAAATATTCTTACAGGATATGAGTGCCCCAAATAATGCAAACAGCATCCAATATGTTGTGCTGAAGAAGATCTGAAAAAGAAATAGGTGGAATTAGAGCACATTCCTGAAAAACCTTTACCTTCGCTCCTCAGGCAAGTGCTATAGGATACAATTAGAAAATAGTGACCCCTCCATAATAGGCTGACACAATTGTTTTGCGAGCAATTAAGACAATCAAGAATGCTCATTGTTTCAATTCTAAAGCTTGATTGTGCACTTGAAAGAAACCTGACTCACATACGCTGTTTCTAAAATGCAGGGAATTGAAACTCTTCAAAATTACTGCATTATGCACTGTTTTTAGCAAAGCCTGAGCGGAGCATGTCTATAGCCAATCATCTTAAGTGACAGAAGGTGCCCGGTTACTTACGGGACAAGGAGCGTCCTCATGTCAAAAATACTATCTGCGCAGATTGCATTTATGAGGAAGATTTTTTCGTTGACCTCAGTATGCAACACATTACTTAAAAAGAGCATATTGATTGGCTGTACGGGATCCCCATCGTAGAGGGGATGCATGGGCATTGACATGAACTGTGCGCATATCACTCAAGTAAATATGGTATTGTCTCCACATCTCCTAGGAGTAGATCTGTTGAATTAAGAGGAGAAGTCACTGCCATTTATTCCATACAGTGATCTCCTGGTACTGCAATTTTGCAAGGTATAATTAGTGATCCAGAAAGAGAGGTAGTGACGCTGTTGAAAATGTGTCATCCTTCAAATATCTCGGCGTTCATCTCTCATCGGACTTAACGTGGAATCTTCACATTGAACACATTGCTAACAAGGCGTTGCAAGCTCTTGGCTTTCTCAAATGAACACTGTTCCAAGCAAACCCAGATACAAAACTTCTTGCCTACACTGCTCTTGTCAGATCTCAACTTGAGTATGCATCAATCATATGGCAACCCCATCAAACATATCTGGCAGATAAGATTGAATCTCTTCAAAACAAAGGTGCTAGGTTATAGCATGCATCTAGTCCCGATTCACAAGTGTAAGCAGTTTAAAACATCAACTTAACTCGTCACCTCTTCATACAAGAAGGCACCTCGCAAGCTTATCATTTATTCATAAACTTTATTACAGTCCCTCACCTTTTAGGGACTCTCTCCTACTACTGGCTCACCATATATCGTCCCGCTTAGATCACCCTTTCAAAATTAACCACATATATGCACGAACCAAATGTTTAAAATACTCGCTATATCGGACTGGAACAGCCTCCCCAGAGAAATTGCCTGCATCAGTGACCATCAGTCCTTTGTCTCCACTCTAAACATCTTAAGCCTTGAATAGTCTAGTATCCCTGCAATATATGTTGTTGTCAGTGTCTTGTTTCTGATGTACATGTTTTTATTGTGCGCCATTTTTTTATATCTAATGTTTGAAGGCCAAAATAGTGCCAAATGCCTTGTACCATCAAGTTATGCTTTGTACTTACATATAAGTCTTCCTGCTAAATGCAAGTACTAACCTTTCATCTTAAATTTGAGAAAAGAAAACAAGACAATCATGAATAATGAATGCAGGTTCTCAGCACATCTCTGCATAACGTATGTTCGAGCATAATAGCCATAGTTTAATTATGAAAATTTTACTCTAGTGTAGATATCGATGTTTACAAGGTTTCCGTTTCTTTTTAAATGCACCAGATGCGCGCGTACAGCATCCCGTTTTGAAAGTGCACTTTTGTCCCGAGCTTGTGACTGGAATATTTACACCACATTCCCTGGACTATAGTCCACACCTGGTGTATAGTGCGCAAAAGCAAATTTGGAGCAAAAACAAAAATGATTTTACGCGCACACCAGCTGCACAGTCTGCATGCAGTGCCTAATCCATAGTTAAAAATTACTATACACAACACACTTTGACAAATGCCTGTTGTATTAGCTTACAAGAGAAGCTTTAACACACATAAATAAACATTAATATACTTTGTTATTCATAAGCTCCTTCATATCTTATTCTAGAAGAAAAACAAATCCTTGTATAGTCTGCGCCGGGTAAAATTTCAACTTACAAACGTGTATAGTCTGCAAACTATAGTCCGAAAAATATGGTACTTTTCAAAGTGTTGATTGCAGTGGCTTAGCCCCATCGAGCACGCTTCTTACCGAGCACCGGTGCACCGCAAAGAAGCAGCACCCACGGAAGTGAGCACCACAAATGTTGCTTCTCCACAGTGCACCGGTGTTTGGTAAGAAGCGTGCCCAATGACGCTATCCCACTGCGATAAGCACTTTAAATAAAAAAAGAAATGAATATCAGAGTTCATCTTAAAGCAAATATCGAATAGCATATTATTTGAAAATACACTTGAAAATTTGAATATTTGCACAAACTTACTTTTCAGCACTGCTGAATTTATGTTGTGTTCAACATACATATACCAATGCTTTGATTTTCTACCTCATTAAAAAAGGGGGGGGGCTGATGGGGCTTCCGATCTAAGTATTGTTCACTTCAATCTTGGAACTTAAGCTGTTCTTGAGAAAAATTACCGCAATCGGTGAACGTGCATAGCTAAGAACACGAAAGTCAGACTCGAAAAATATCTCAATAAAGCTAATACTAAACAAGTAAGAACGGATGAACTTAAGGAAGTGGTCCTGCCACACTTTCTGAAGACAAAAATCCTTGAGGTTCTGCACGATATGAGGTGAAGCCTTGCGAGAAAAATTCAAACTTGTTGAGCCACATGGAAGATGAAAATTTCTAGCAGGAAGTGGATGAAAACTCACAAAATATTGTGTCGATTGTACAGAATGTTCCCAAAAAAAGGTTACAAGGTTTTTTTCACCGCAAAAATAATCTATGCATGGGAAAACGCTCATTCTTCGCCGAAAGATAATGCTAGAGGTCTGAACGAGATGCCAAAGTTTCAGCACGAAACAATATTTTATTCAAAAGTTTGATTTTGTGAAAAATTCAATGGGAAACCAATGCCTTTTTTGCCCGTTTTCAGCTTCTGGAACCATAGAGTACTGTAACATTTTCAGAAAATAATTTATAACTTTTGAATAAAATATTGGTCTGTGCTGAAACTTTTGCTTCTGGTTCGGACCTCTAAAGCTACCTTTAGGGGAAAATGAGCTTTCGGCGATGCATGATTTATTTTTGCAATGAAAAAAACCCTGCAAATTTTTTTCGGGCACACCCTGCATATGATGACGACTTCGCATTGATTTTGTGGTAATCAGATTCCATAAAAATAAATGCTAATTCTTGCCCTCCTTTAGGTGCCACCTACAATTATGCTGTTATGCCACACTAGCAACAAGTAGCAATAAGCAATCATTCCTCATTTTAGCAAATATTTGTCCCATTTATAATAGCTGTGTCTTCTCCCCAATATAGCTTATATATTTTTTTAAAAAAAGGTGGGTTAATGGGGTGGGCAAACGTGGTGAGCTCCTCAACTGGTTGCATGGTAAAACCAATCCAACATAAGAAGGGGGAGCTCACTTATAGGCCACTCTGGTTTATGTGGCTTTTAACCTCACTAAAGAAAAAAGGGTGTGTAGGAGGCACAACGAGGTGTTAGCGCACCCCTTCGCAGTTAACAGGCCAAGGGGAGATGGATTTGCATCACACCAAGAGCAAGACGCATGGAAAGAGAGGAGAGACCCCTTGAAACCAACGCGCGAGCTAACGGCCTCATGCTTTAGAAGCTATGTGGCACAGCAGTAAAAAAGCAAGTGACACTAACACCCTTTGTACCAGCTTGATCTGCACAATCAAGGTGAACCAAGCATATAAGAGGGCATAGGCCATATTTAAATAAAGGACTGAGGCACTTTTACTCGTTCCTCAGACAAAAATTAACAAAAATATGTTGCTCTTTCCGATTTGATCCCGCAAATTCGAAATTCAATTATATGCATTTTTTTTTGCTTTTGTTTCCATCTTGGGCACCAGGTTATTTTTAAAATTCAGTGGTTAATATGCTAGGCAGCCAGTGAAATTGTGTTAGGATGATAGTCTTTTATGATACTCTTACAAAATATAAAAGGAAGCAGAAATTGTTGTATAAAGATTGTTTTCTTTAAATATTGCCCAATACGGTGTTTTCTGGCAAAATAAAGCAAAAAGAGAAAGGCACCAGCCTCACAAGTCATATATAGCTGGTTCCTTGCCCCTGTTAAAGCGTTGCCAGCTATCTTGTGCCCACAGTACTAGTACCTATGCCAGCTTCTACACCCATTCGAGATGGCCGAAAACCTCTCCCTCTAGATTTTGGGTTCTGAAACTGTGCTCCTAAAAACACAGGTGTTCTTCAGGGTGCTTTCAGGGGTTCATGAAGCTGCAAAACTTCCTCAACTGCCCCTGCTTCTCTGTAGAGAGTTTTCCCCGTTAAAGCAATATTTTAGCAGATATAAGCAATCTAATGACGTAGAATTGCCTGCCAAACACTCCCTGGTTTAGGCCTACATGGCCCATAGGCTTCTGTACAACTTTACCATTGCCAAGAGTAGTGGACCCCGCGCACTCACCCATCCCCGAATGTCGGCAATGGTGGCCTCGGTGCGATCCACCTGGAACCAGATGAGGCCGCACACGACTCCCAGGCCCACAGTCTGGACCCAGTTGAGCTTGGAGAGCATGCGGCCCCTGGCCTCAAGGAAGTTGCGCTGGGTCAGCACTGACACCTGGGTCCAGAAGGAGGTGGGCCACTTGTGCTCTCGGCCCAGGTCATCCTGGCTGCTGAACACTGAGCTGCCGGCCTCCGACCACGACGACCGCCCAGAGTCCTCGTCGTCCCGGATCGCTGCATGAGCAACAGGGGTCGTGAGGCGACCGTGGGGCACGACAAATCCTAGAGGAACCCCTAGGGTACGGGTCCTAAAACTGTTCCCGGAGTGCCCTCAAAAGCTCCACAAGCTTTTTAAATTTCCTCAGTCATTCATTCCCCCAAGCGAAGCGTCTTTTTAGTTCAAGCACTGTTTTAGAAGATCTGGGTCATTGAGTGATGAGTAACTATGTGCCAAACACTTCCTATTCTCTGCATTACTGTTTGCAAGGTCCGTAGGCTTTTGTGCTACACGGATTCATGAGCGCCCAAATTGGGAGGTGTTCCTGAGCAATCAGTCGGAAGAATCCACAGGAGTGAGGAGTTCAAACCCCTGCCCATAGGGTATGACCACTAATACAATTTCAAGTCTCCTGTACATTATTATACTGCTATAGAGACCGAGACACTCGAAAAACCACTTTTTTGTGGATGCACAGTGATGTGATTGGTCAGTGTCATTTTGAAGCATCTCTCAGAGCAACCGAAAGTCCATTTCAAGGTAGCAAGAAGAACCTTTGCAGCATAAGTAGACACTTCCTTTTGATTCATATCATGCCACTGAAAATATTATGTTATGATTCGTGCATTGGCCTGCAGAGCTGAAATACAATGATACTTTGCCTTCCTCCTTTTGTCAAAATTTTTCTTAGCATTAGTTATACGGCAGGTTTGGTTCCCTCAAACACAGAAAAAGCTGCTTAGTTGTGTGTAGAAGCACCAAACACGACAACAAGATACTGACTGATGAACGCCAGTATGATTAGGAGTGCATAATTATTTTTGGTGCATAGTCAGGGGTAAAGCAATTAATATATTCCACTGAAATAATGCTAAAATAGAATAATTTAATGTACCCACATTAATGTTTAGTTCAAAATCTGAGGGTTCTAATAAAACTGCAATTCTTAAATTAGAAAAACTTTTCTATTTCATCAAGGACATCAATTACATTATAGATATGGAGCTTATACCAAATAAAAAAAATCGGCACGTGAATGAAACATATATGACCTCTTAAAAAACCTGAAGGACATGACATGACAGGTCAAATCATATTTTTTCTTATTATCTGAAACGACTGAAATGATCCCAAGTTTCAAACCCTCAAAGTTTGAAACTTGGGAACTCGGTGTTTGTGAAGTAAAAAACGATTTCCAAAAGTCTCGTTTGAAGTTCTCGCGCGATCCACGCCAGTGAAGTGATGTCAAAGTTTGAGCTGTCCTGCAACTCGAGTTTCTCTCATGCCTCCATCCAGGCCCGAAGTGTCGTGTTCGCACGCGTCACACACAATTATCGATTGACTGCTCGCCTCCATGTGCTACCTATCGCTGTGAGCAGACAATGCTTCACTTCCGAGTTTGAAGTTCTTTTAAGGCCCTTTCAGCGATCTCAAATTCTTTGAAACGGCGCAAGGTCAAAGAGAATGCGCTGTGAGCGACATGAAGGGCCATGTCGTGCCACCGGTTCTGTGTGAAAGTCTGCCCCGGCGGAGTCACAACCGAAACTACGGTACACATAACCAAACCCAGTTGTTTTGACAGTTTGACAATTTCCTTTTTGAAGTCTGAGAGGTCGTCAGGCACCTAGAAAAGAGAACTTCGTCCAATTTCCCGACTTACCGATCATCCTCAGTGCTACATGTGCTGAGCGCTGCGGCGCCTCCATGTTTTCTGAGGGAGGATAAAACGCCAGCCGGCGACATCACTCCGAACTCCGATTTTCAGTATACAGTCAAATCTTGTTAATTCAAACTCGAGGGGGGCCGAAAATTTGTGTCAATAAAACAAAGTTTGAATTATCAAGAGTTTCCTACCAAAGAGACGCTTCGGATGGGACTTGCATGTTAGTTTGAATTACCCGCAAGTTTGAATTAATGAGAGTCGACTGCATTTAAAAAAGAAGGGCCATGGTGCGTTTGCAACAGCGTTAAAATACATGTCGAATGCTGTTATTAAACATTATAGAAATTTTAACAAGGCTTCTAAATTTCATAATTTCTGACGTCACAAATAAAAAAAGTAGCGAGCAGCTGAGAAGAGGGAGAGAAGAGCACCAAAGATAAAAAGAAGCGCGCGAGCATGGGAAATATTTTTTTTCGCATTGTGGTATTTTTTTGCATGTCGATGACTACAGCTTGCATCGTTTTAGACAAAAAAAAAAGATCTCTGGGGTGTTGGCACCTTTTTAAGCTTCACCCTTAAGAGTGGAATACGATAGTGAAACATGTAAACTCCTGCTCAAGATCCTTTCGCGCAGGCTTCAAAGCATAATCAGCACTCTCACCGGAAACCACCAGACGCGTGGGATAAAAGGACGCTCTATACAAACTAACATTCATGTCGCTAGAAGCATTCTAGATTATGTCCGATATTTTTTAATCTTTTTCATTTCACGCGTGACATTACGTTTCACGTGAGCATAGTGGGTTGTTTGAGATTACCAGGCAAGGTCATCTGGCTGTGACGTCATGACCCTATCGACCAACCAGGATTTTCGTGCCACACCACCGACGCCAGCTTTTCTGCCATGCCACCGATTTTCTGCGACACGAGCTCCTTAACGCTATTGTGCTAAAACAATCCCACCAAATTCGTTAAGGACTTTTTGAAGCTTCCATCCACCACTCCAGATAATTTAGTTTTTCTGTATTGACTGCCATATAAAGCCATATGAAGGTAATAACAAAACAAGAGGGTTAACATAAAAAAATACCTGTAGAGCAGTCTATACAAATATTTTAGCAATACTCAATTATCTTTGCTAACTATCAATTTCGAGAAAGATACCCTCAGAATATTGCAGTCCCTTATATATAATAGCCACAGAAGTCATGTCTCGCCCAGGAAGGGTGCTTTCCCCTCAGCACGCGAGTGCACAGCGGCGAAACAGGATATGCAAAATCGCGATGCCCAGTTAGCGGTTGTCACTTCACTGCAGTGCACCAGTGCGCGATGAGAAGCACACTTAACGATGATAGCTAACCTGCTAGAGCAGACCACGCACATGAGAAATAGTGCTAAACTTCCGAGTACTGTCAGTGTTTGACAGAGATGAAATCAAATGTATTGGATGCTATATTCGAAAGTGATGAAAATTTGCACAAGCCTTCAGTAGCAATTTGGCCGTGTAGCAGAGCCTGATAGCTTTTTTTTTTTCTCTCTGGCATATCCAGGTTTTGTTTTGAATCATGGTGGAATTCAAACATAGAGGGACAATGATAAAACTTTTTAGCTCATGCATTTCTTGCACCTAGGCAGTATGATACATACAAATCTGCTTCTATCATTCCTAGCTTCTGAAGAGGATCTTCAAGCCAAACTTGAAACTGGGAGACTACGGATCCAGAAGGTAATTTTGTCTGATACCTCCGAAGAGGAGCCAGCTGCACTTGAAAAAGAAAACATGAACACTAAGAAGGTGAGTACTAGCTGTTTAATGATACCATGAAATTATTATTATTCGGCTTAATACCACTACGAACAAATCTTTGGCATGCAGCAAATATAGAATATGTATTAGACTTGTAAGTTAAGGTAGTGGAAGAGGTTCTCAAAAAGTGAGTTAGAGGTGAATTCTAGTGCACACTAATGTTGTGATTCAGAGTATGACATTACTTTGCCTCAATGATATAACTATATGCAAGAAGATATGAAAAACAGCTGCTCAGTCATGACGTCAACTCCAGCGCTTTCAGGTGCCCAGCATGTGCTGCCTGCGGGAGCAGGCACGTACAGAGCGCGACGCTGTTAGCGCGAACAAACAATCGCTGGTTTTTCTAGTTTTTTCCTTTGAAACCATGGGATGTCATGCAAGTTATTGTTGCTACAAAAAGAGCTCTTTAGTTATATAATGTAAGCGATGAAATTTCGTGCTCGCTTGTACTATTTAGAAGTAAAATGCGAAAATGCGCCGATGTCGTGTTCGCGCTAACAGTGTTGCGATATGTACAGTCATGCAGATACTAAATAGCTCCACGCGAACGGGCGTTTTTTTTCTAAGGAGTGCTTGACTGGTGGCTTACATCAATTTATTAATGAAAACATTGGCAATCCTCGGAAACTGGAAAAGAAAAGGTAATTGCCTAATTAAATTATTGCATTTTGATAAACTAAATAAGCGCATTCCTTCTAGTGTTTTTTTTTTCTGTTTGGCTTGGACAAAGTAAACGGCAGTCACTGAAGAATGAATTTAAATTGTCTGTTCTTGAAGGCACAATTTCTTGATATGACCGAATTCACAAATGCAAGCTAGGTATCTTAAAACTTGTAAATAATGTGTCCTTCAAGTAGCTTGACGTCCCATGCCATGCTGCATAGGTGCATTGTACCACAGGACATCTGGCGATGACACAGCTTGGCAAGAGTAAGAACACTGGATCTCAGTCGTTTCCCGGTTGCTAATTTCTGTCACCTCTATTCGTTCTAGGCGGCAAGCTGCTGCCATTGACGCTGCCCAAGAGCAGGATGGGACAACCATGGCCTTAGTTCGCACACTTTATTTGTACAAAGCCAGGTTCAAAGCAAAAAAGAATTTCTTCTTACTTTTACCGGAACTAGGAGACGATTCCTGCGAGACGCTATGACATCACTGCGGTGTTTCTACGGGAGGATTGTTGGACTAACGCCGCATTGACGTCATAACGTATTGCAGGAATCATCCTACTTTCGGTAGAAGACAAAAGGAAACTCCTTTTAGGTCTGAACCGGGCTTTAGTGTTTCATTTTCAACTTAATTGTAATAAATTTGCTCCTTTTAATTTCATTTGTTTCCTATATCTTGCAAGGGTAGCTCGCACAATTTGTTGTGACTGGAAAGAGCTTGTTAAAAAAAAAACTAGAAAAAATATGTTTTAAAATGTGTTATTTCAGAACAGGCTCTACATGTGTGGCAGATAGTAGAACCCAATTTGTTAGGAACATATCCAACTGGCATATCTAGACGTACTTATGTGAGACATGCCCAATTTGAAATTTCATTTGGGAGTCCTACTTTTGGCTGTGTACATTGCTAATGCGTCCGAAAATCGTTTTTGCTTGCTAGCTATCTTTCCCATTGGTTATAGTTTGAATTAGAAATATACAAACTGGCGTTTTTCTAATGGGACTTACAAACAAGACTGGTCATGGTTCGAATTGGAACCACACCAATTGGTATTTCTCCAATTGGATGTTCCAAAACACAATCGGTCATGGTCCCAATTAAAAAAAAAAAAATTAATATTTCACCAATTAGGCGTTCCAAAACACAGCCGGTCAGGGTTCCAATAGGAAAAAAAACCAATTGGTAATTTTGAACCAATGGGCATTTTTTCCAACTGGGCATTCCAAAACACAACTGGTTTTGGCAATTGGTACCAATTGGAAAATCCAATTGGACCCAATGGGTATTTTTAACTGGGCAAGCTATTATATTTTAAGTGATATTGATTTTAGTGCAGTGTTGGCACAAATTTCTCAAATTTTGGCAAAGTGTAGCGCGACGTAGCAGGGTAAGCACTTTGGCACAGCTTGGCACAAATGGCGCAGCAATTGGGTCACTAAGATGCGTGACTTGCAAGACCTTGATTCGGCATTTTGGCTGAAGCTTCACTTAGAGCGAGAAAGAGGAGACCCGACAGCCACGCACCAATCTTGCTGTACACGGTGGGAATCTTCTTCTCAGGGTCCAGCATGACCCGGAGCTCCACCTGCTTGGACTTCTCCGTGCCCGGCTTGTCGTCCTCCGACACGGCCCACAGGTACTGCTGTTGGGTGCCGTTCTGGAGGCCCTTGTGACAGGACTCCTCCTCTGGGTTCCTGCGGGCAAACACAGACGCTGAGTTGCCCACCCAGAACTGGAACAGCGCGGCCCACAGCGCCCGCTGGCCGCAAAATGGACGACGCAGAGCGCGAGACAGGATTGCGATTTCAAGTTGATCCACGAGCAAGCTAAACCCACCACTCGGAGGTTCAATGCAGGAGCAGCTGACTGTCTTGAGGAGACCACTTCCTAGAGCAACACACCCGTTCTGCCCCTCCAATAGTGCCACCGCGTTTTGCGGGATGTACCTAGGCTGACGTTGCTATAAAACAAGCTCCACATGTCCCCTTTTTGCAACACGGTGGGACAAGGCATTGAGCGTAAGGGTTGCCCCATCACGAGCCACTTTTTAGGTTTAGTTCATATCATTTTCAGACCTGCACGAGCACTGTATTTTCCATATTCGCGCATTAGCGCCGAACTATGCCGAGAGCACGGAACACGTCTAAGCAGGAGCACCATCTGCTGCAGAGAGCAGTTTTGCTCTGCAAGTTGGCTTTCCCCTAAGGCGCAAGGCAGCATTGAGAGAAAGCCAGCTATCAGGGCAAGCTGGCTTTTTTTTCTTCAGGGCGGCCGCGTCAACCGCCCAGAAGAAAAAATAGTATTCTCTATTGCGGACGGAGCGGGGAGGGGGAGCACGAAGCACCCTCTCCCCGCTCCTTCCGGAAAAGAGATCTCTTCTTTTCTTCTTCCGGGCGGTCGACGCGGCCGCACGGAAAATAAAAAGAAAAAAGCCAGCGTGCTCTGCAAGCTGGCTTTCCCCCAATGCGACAGCTTTCGTTGGGGGAAAGCCAGCTTGCAGAGCAAAACGCCGCTCTTGGCGGAACAAAAATAGTGGCTGCTATTTTTGTTCGGCGTAACCGTAGTTTTTGCTATATATTATCATTGTCACATTACTGTGCACAAAAATTGTTCGGTATAAGAAATAATTTGTTGTAAACGGGTTCGATATAGTCGGGTCTGACTGTAGTCAACCATTTTCCTTTCATCACCCGACAACTCTCTGCACATAGGTACAGGCGGGGAACACAATCACGTAGGGAAAGATAGGCGTATGGCTCGTCTGTCGAGCGCGCAGCTTCCACCTCACTGTCGGCTTAGGGCTGAACGGACAGAGTATACAGTGCTCTTCAAGTCCGATGGTCAAAGTGAAGGGGTAGTTTCAAGAAGGGAAAAGGGGGGGGGGGGGGGGGCAATGGAAATAAGATGCAACTTATGTCTTTCCTTGTGGGATTACTGTGGGCCGCTGAACTAATATTTCCTAATCCTAAACGGCGACACGAAAAGGAGGGGTTATTTCCTTTTTTCCTGTTGCGGGAAAAACGGCGACGAGGAAAATGAGGACTGGAAAGAGTAAACTTCTACCTTTCTGCTCGTTGGTCGGCCTTTAAAGAAGCAGAATAGCAAAAAAATGATATTTCTTTCTTGAACCTGGAGAAGCTGAGGAACAGTAGAATGCAGCCCTTTCTCGATTACATCCAAGGGAGCCTGGACATCTACTCCACTCCAAGGCATGCAAACTAATCACTATGATCTAGTGAAAATTGGGGCAAGTGAAAGATAAAGTTTAGAAATTGCATGTTTTCTAGAGAAAAATTTACTCATGTCATGCTCAGTGTTGCAGACCAGAAACAGTGGAAATCACACATGTCCATAAAGCGGGAGCACACGGATTTCTTGGGCAAGCACTCGACTGGTGGCATTCGTGGCAACTATTCCTCACGTCGCAGTGTACACTCTTCCGCTTCGCGCTGTCTTATGGGCGGCCACCAACGAGAGGCGCGGGTGGCCTCTTGTTGGTGGTCAGTGCGGGAGCAATGCCGGTTGCAAGCCGTGGAAGCCAACCGTTCCCTCCACGCTTGCTCTTGGGATGGAATACAATCTCGGCATGGTGGCTTAATTAGGAAGAGTCTGTGACAGTGACGACGCAAGCAAAGATGCAGGTTTTCCCAGTGTTGTTGAGCGGTGAAGGGAAGGAGTAATACTGATGTTCAGCAATGGGTGGAGGAGGGGGACACATGCAGATAAACGAGTCCAAGCTCTCCGTGCGCAAGGCGATGTGTTTTGGCAGAACATATTTTACATTTAGAGTTGGGTTCGAGAAGTAGAGATGTTACATTAAAACGAATGCGGTGGCAGTTTCTAAAACCCTCCAACATCACGTGCACCAACTGGATACTGCCAAAGTGGTATTTCGTTTAACACGAGTAATGCTTGAAAGCACTCATTTTGCTGTTATCGTTAGCAGCTGACAAAAAAGTCGCTCCGCCGACACTTCCGCATCGTCGCGCCTTTACTGGCGGGTTATCAGGGCTCTCCTCTCTTCCCTCTTCGCGCTGTGTGGCCATTGGGAACACCTGACTTCTCTCTCTTTGTATTGGAGGCAAGAGAAGAGTCTTTCCATCTCCACGGTGACGACAGACAAGAAACGCCGACACCAAAATCCCTGCAAAGTGTCACCCATAAACTTTAAAAATAAAATTGAAATGCTTTGCCTTAAAGATTATTCACCATGACTCTTATCAATCTGGTGTGGAGTGTGTCAGCGGCCCGGAAGGAGCGAAGAGGATAGCCTTCAAGCAGGATTCTACCTGTTGCCTCACGTGCAGGGGCGGACTTGCCGATAGGCAGACTAGGCAGCTCGGGGGCAGAATTTAGGGGGCAGTCAATTTGTGGCTGCCTCCAAATTAAACAACTTTTTTCTAATCTAGCTATGAATTTAGCTACTTATTCTAGCTCTAAATCTAGCTACTTTTGAAAATGTTGACTCCAAATTTTGCTATTTTCCACCCCTCTCCGTCCCCCCCTTCCCCCAAACCCCACTTCTCAAGGTCACTGACCATGGAAAGCGGGGTTGAGGGTGGGGTGGGGTGGGGTGGGGGGCAGCATTGTAAAAGGCGGCCTCGGGCGGCAAAATGCTAAGTCCGTCTCTGCCCACGTGACTGACTGGTTGCCACAAATGCCACCAGTCGAGCGCTCGCCAAAAGCAGCACGCTCCCGCTTTATGGACAAGTGTGATTACTATGGCACACGCCATACAACAAGAAGTAAATTTCTTTGCCCTGTTCATAAAAAAGTGCAGGGTATACTAGAGGGCATGTGAAACATGGCTGCTGATGACCCTACTTATGATGGAAGGTCTTCCAGACGTGCTTGTGACACTGGGGGCAGTTGACGCTGTTTGCCGAAGCTCCGTTGTAGTTGCACTGACTGCCAACTTCCTCCTGGCTATGGTACACTGGGCTGCTTTCCTGGAGCTGCTTCGGATAGTCAGGGTGTTTCCTGGCACAAAAGAAGAGCAGTCAGCTTTCGAGCTGCAAGTCAGAGCTGAGCATGCTGGATGAGCAGGTCTAACTGCATCTGTATCGAAACTTTTTCCGGCATCCCTCTCCAAGCTAGATCAACCTTCAAACATCACTGTCAAAAGCAGGGGTCCCTTCTGAGGAAATCAAACCATATGATACAGCACACAAAGTAAGCAAAGAAAGTTCAGCATATTCAATTAAGCAAATACGGAGGTATCAATGGACTAATGTGGGATGGCCGCTGGCCCAGTGCTTACCATCCACGACCAGTGGTGCTAGCAGACATAAGCCAGATCCATTTATACAGCTTTAGTGTCATTGGTGATAAAAGCTATTATTCTTGCAGGCTGAAAAATTATAACTAAAAATCTTCAAAACCTGCTTGTAGCTGTGCCAGCGACACGTTCGAGAAACTATGTGAGCAGCAAGCGGCGGCAATCCTGCCCACTCTTCCCCGGCTGGGCTAGTTGAGTGTTCTTTGGCCTCGTTACAGCTCGTTGATTTGGTTGCACGAGTAAATAATTGAATCAGCCTCAACGTCACATTTGGGGAATAAGCGGCAATGCTGGTATCCTGCTCCACCAATCACCCAAAGCCCATGCATATGGTGCCTCGGTTAAATCCAGCAGCTGCAGCGACGTATATATGCTGTGTTCCTAGGCTCCCCTACCACTTAATGAGAACTTTTAGGGATGGCCCCTAACAAACTTCTCAGCCCCTAACAAACTTCATAGCCTGTGCAAGAGAGTAAACACACCCACAAGAACCACAGTCAAGTGCACGAAGAAACATAAAAACAACTTCATACAGTGTACCGAAAAGGTGGTCTGCTCCTTCCCTCTATCCTGTGGACGACAATACATAGGACAGACCGGGCGGTGCGTCAACGATCGCATTCGTGAACACAACTGCACTATCTCCAACAAAAACTCCGGACACCTGGGAATTCACTGCCAAGACTGTGGCTGCACAGTGGAGCTGGAGAAATGCACAGTGTTAGGCAGGAACTACGACAAGCTGACAAGAGAAATCATGGAAGCAGAGAACATTGCCAGGCAAAAGGAGGGATGTGTCAGCACTCCTTCCATAATGTTATCCAACAAAGAACTAGAGTACTTAGCCGTACAATAATTTTATGGTTTAGCTTCCTATTACAAAAAAAAAAGAAACACAGGAAAAAGAAGGAAGAAGAAAAGGGCAATTTTTTGCCATAGAAACCCTAGTCCCAAAGAAAGACGAAAACGAAAATTGTAAATATAACGTAGAGTTGTCAGTCAGCGCTGTTTAAGTGGCTCTTTCTTTTGTGTGCATGAAAGCTTAGAGTGCTTGTTTTGAGGGTGCGCTGTTGCCTTGTCAGTCATGAACGACCAACTCGCCCGAACCTCCGTTTTAACAGCTATATGAAGCTTATACGTATGCTGCTCATTTACACCTTCTAGCAGAAATAATAAAACAAAAAGAGGACGAGACACAGATAGGCTTCATCCTCTTTCTGTTTTATTCCTTCTGCCTTCACTCTGTTTTCTCAATTACTATTTGCGCGCTACATATATCATGACTAGGGTTCTGTGTTTTCGGATAAAGCAGGTCAACTCAGACAAACACTCGCCGGTGAAATTTTCGAAAATTCGAAATTATTCGTAAAATTCAGAATTTCGAGGTCACTATGGCGAAATTAAGAATAAAAAAGAGTGTATTTTACTAATAAAGTTCATCAGAGTGCAGGGCTAGTGGTCCTAAAAGAGGCCAATTCAGTTCTTTTTTTTTCTTTATCTTGGATTACTGACAAGAAAAGGTTTTCCGTTTATCTTGTCACGACCAGTGGTGCTGAGTACAATGGGCCAATGCACTTCTGGACGTCGACAAAAGCTACTGTTCCGGGTTACATTCGAAACCATACCATTTGTGCTTCTTAGAAGGAGGAGGGGTTGTGTTTTCATAAAAGTGAGAGATGTGAATGTGTAGATATAGTATCATAAGATGGGAAAGGCAGCTGCAGGTTTTATGCAACCAGGAGCTTGGCTATTTCAAAGCACAGACGTTTATTGAAGTAACGCTTTTTTCAAGATTTGTAGTGGGGCAATTAGTACTGCCAAACGCAAGGGTGCCAATGTCAAATTCAGCTGCAGAAATTCGGTGCCGGTGATTTTTTTCATGAATTTATGTATGTTTTTGTCCAAACATTATTTATTTTTAATTTAAAAAATGAGAACAGAGTAAAAATAAACTCCGAATATAGGAGAATTGGGAATATAAGAAAAACAAACTCCGATAGACCCCGAATTTCCAGTAAAAAATAAATACGGAGAAGCACCCTCCGAATTTCATAAAAAATAAACTCCGAAAATACAGAATCCTAATCATAACTGAAAGATGCATTGTCGTGACCGTCCCTGTGTGCATTCTTTCATAATGCTTCATTGTATCCTTTTAGCTATTCTTCTTTGTACATACCTGAGTTCTTGTGCATGCATGATGATTTTTTCCTGGATTTCGGGTGCCCTTTTTACTTGCTCGACTACAACAAAGAACACAGAATTTGAACAGGTAAGGTCATTTAAATCTGCTTTTCACGAGAAATTTCACAATATTGGGCTTTTGATTCTTAAAAGAAATATAAAAAGACACTGTCACCTCACCGAGTTTGCTCTTATCAGGCTTATAAAGTGAATCGAGATGAGATATAAAAACATTAATATGGATTTTGTAAATTACTGCATTACATTTTTTTTTATCCCACTAAATTATCACAAGCAACTTTACAATATATAGCACGTCAAAAAGGGGTATGAAAAAATTTGAAATTTATAATACAAAGTTAATTTATATTCTGTATTTAGTTTAATCAGCAATGTGACAGTAATGAATGACAAAGTGTCAAGGGATTATGAAGAAAAACATTCAGAATTCATAACTGAAAATTGAAGAAAGCTTTTTTTTTTTGTTCAATTGAATTGAAAAATCATTGCACTTTTCTGTCCCAGAAAATCTTTAGAAGGTAGAAACTCTGGCTGAACCAGCACCTTGAACTCGAAAGCATATTATGGAAGCTATTACAAAACTTGTTTAAAAAAAATTACACTCACGTATGAAGTCGGCCGGATTGAAATGTTGTTGAATTTGGAGCCCAATGCTGCTAAAGAAGTCCACCACTTTGCTTACTTCGCCAAAGTAGGCCGTCTGTAGAAACGTCGGGGAAAAAAAATTACATAAGCTTGATCACGCTGACAAAGACTAGGGAGCCAGAATGAGTCTAGCGCAAACTACCACCCCACAGAACCCCCTTATAAGAAATTGATGTCATGTGACATCACGCCACATAATGCAGTCACATTAATTTCCCCAATATAAATTTAACGGTAAAATGACGTCACGTGACTTGAGGTCGCATGATATGGTCAAGTGCGTCATTTTCCCACTAAAGTTAGTAGAGAGATTGTTGTCACGTGATTTCAGGTCACATAACGTGGAGACAGTCAATTGCCCCACTTGATTAAGCGAGGAAGCTGACGTCATGAGACGATGCCACATGATGAGGTCACATGATGTCGTTTCCCCACTAAATTTAGTGGGGAGACTGACGCCACGTGACATTACGTACCCACTAAATTTAGCGGGTAAATTGAAGTCACGTGACATAACTTAGCCGCTGAATTTAAAGGGGTAAATTGACATCACGTGACTGGAGGTCATATGACGTCGTCATGTGCGTCATTTTCCCGCTAGGTTCATCGGAGAGTATGACGTCACATAACACGACCTACCCGATAAATTTAGCAGGGAAATTGAAGTCGAGTGACTCGAGGTCCCATAATGTGGTCACAAAATGTCATTTCCCTGCTAAGTTTAGCGGGAGATTGACGTCACGTCGCGTCCCTTACCCGCTAGATTTAGTGAGCAAATTGGTGCAACGTGACTTGGGGTCTCATGATGTGGTAAAGTGACATCATTTCACTGCTAAATTTAGCAGGGAAATTGTGCAACACTCGTTTATAATGCTCTTCCATGATACTCGTTTCTGACAATTCTCTCATGAAAAAACTACTTGTAAAACACTTTCGTTAACTGTGCTTGGGGACAGAGTACGCAAACCAGTCTCTCAACGTGGCATGAAGATAACTGAAGAAACAAAGTTCAACAATTGAAAGAAAAAAAATGACCCGTCCTGTGTTAACCGATTGTAAAGTCACAGCGATAGCTGCGACACATCTGGGCAAAGTCGTTGGCTCAACTGGCTTTGTTCTTACAAGTATGTACCTCACTGTTCTCCCTGCAACAAACGGTGAGACGCGTCAGCTTTGCCGCCAGCGCGTCTTTCAGCATCTCGCAACAAACATGACGCCAGCTCGCAGCGACGCCCAGACACCCGCGTCTGCCGCTCTGCACCAAACTCTCATCGATTTTCAGCACTTTTGCCACTTGGGGCTGCTCAGGGATCGACCAACGTTAGGATCCACTAACGCTGATGTAATGCTCAGGTTTTTCTTCTAGGTAGTATTGGAGGAATGGATACAGCTGAAACCTTTCAGTCAGGCGGCGACTTGCACCCCCTAGTTGATACTTTTAATTTCAACAATTAATTTTGTTTAAATTTAAAATTAATTAAGAATGACATAAAATTATCTATCGCGACGTCACAGAAACTTTGGCCATCTAGCGATCGCTGCTCGAGACTCATATTCACCTTCCTTTTACAAAAACCGTATAATGAAGCAGATTGCCAAAGACGGGGCATAGCTCTGTGGTAACGTGCAAGCTCCACAATCAATGGACCCAGGTTCGATTTCCAAGAGTGGCAGGCAATCTTTTTTCAAGCAGTTGGCAGCATTGCTGCGGATGCCCTATGCCTTATTACACCAACTACAATGTCAACAACATCAACAAATACTACAATAAGGACAACGGACGTCATGTCCAGTGATGGGAAGAGCCCATAACAACTTTACACAAACTCATCTTTGTTACGTCACAGCGCGGTGGTGGCGCGTCGGGAGCACTTCCGGTCGGGGGCTGTGGGCGGAAGCCGCCATGGGGCACGTGCATTCCTGTGTTACTTCAGAAGAAACCGGACAAAAACCTGCCTTCTCGTCAAAATGCCGCGACTGGAGTTTTACCAAAATAGTCGGGAAAAGTTTGAAGGTCAGTTTTCATGCGTTTTCTCCCTGCTCGGTTCGTCCGAGAACGTGAACAGGGGGCGTCACACGCCGTCGGACCACGATTGCTTGGGCGGAAAGCATTACGGATTGAATTCACGGATACTTATAATCGTCAGATTTATTTGTTTTGTTCCAACATGAACGTGGGAAAACCGTCAAGTTGCACGGACCACCTGCGGACTACGTTCAGTGCGTCATCACGTTCAAACGGCCGCCTCATCGTTTGAGTTGTCGTCTGCTCTCTCAAACGCTTCTGCCTGTCGTCTGCTCGTTCAAACGATAGCGGCCCGTAGACCAAACACTAACCCGGTAATTGTGATAAGAAGTGCAGACCTCAAAAGACGCTTAAGTTTGGAGTTTGCTTCGGGTAAGTAGGCTCGGTGTAAGCAGTAGATATAAGGATATATTGATAATTGTTATCAGTGGCCATCACCGACTTGTTATGCCTGGTTCACTCGGTCCGATTCCGCTTGCGATTTTCAGTATCAACGTCGACATCTCAGCTACAGTTCAGGCTTTTGCAGCCCGAGCGACGTCATGACTGAAAATAGCGAGCAGAACCTCACCATGTGAATCAGGCTTTAGCATTCATTCTGCGGCATCCAGGCAGAATGAATCGCCGCATGTTACATTATTCGCGCTAAGTTTTGCGGTGTGACGAGCCTCGTTAATTTCGTTCAGGCCGCGCTAAGTAGTCAGACATTGCCAGGAAGACATAGAATCAACAATTCCAACGCGAAAAAGAGCGCGGGGACTCACACCGATGCCGACAACATCCCACTCCGATGGTTTGTTTATGGGCGACGGCGAGTTTCTTGCCCACACCCCCATCGCACATGCGCGGCGTCGGTGGCGTCCAGTAGGGGCACTCTGGTTTGTTTGTAAACATGAGTTGGTGTATTGCTGTAAAACGAGTGCCTTTCTTCAAAACCCCGAAATGGTGTCTATAGTCGATGGTGGCAGGTTAAGAGTAAAGTTGAAGCTTCTCCCGCCTTTTTACACATTAGCAGAGTGAAAGCTAGGAAGAAGGCTGCCTCCTCTCCAACGTTCGCCCTGCTAAAGTGGGAAAAGGAGGCAAGAGCTTCCACTTTACACTTAAAGGGACACTGACAGGGTATTTATTAGTGATGGGACAAGCTTTTTTCCAAACCGAGATTCGGACCCGAATCTGGAGATTCGGAAATATTCGAATAATTGACCGAATATTCTAGCGATTCGGACGGTTCGGATAGATTTGGAATGTTGCCAGACCACACCACACCCTTCGGAAGAAGAGATGAATTCTTTGATTACTCAAAGATATTTATTATATGTGTATCATAGACAACACATAAAGCTTCCATATTACGTTCTAAATTTTGTATCATACGAAAGGTTGAAGTAAATGAAATAAGTACTCACTCAATCCTAATTCCTGACCAAAACGTTGTGACGTTAGCTAAGCCTTACTCGTATGCATCCCCGAGGCATGAAGACGCCAAGAATAGCGCTCGACGCCAATGGTGGAAATGAAAGCTTGTAGGTACGCACCATATGCATGAAACAAAATGGCAGGCTACCCGTTTCTCTTCAGTAACGCCGTAAATAAACCAAAACCCATTTATATTCGCGAACGATGCAAGACTGACGACGAATGACGACCAAAGTACATGAAATATGGGCACCCAACTACCCAGAACACAATTGGCAGCTCGAAATTCGTTTTCTTTCTGCCCGAAAACCGCCGATCGAAAACTGGCCGGTTTAAGTTGCGTTCACTCTCTTCTTCGTGGTCAAGTGCCGTTTTCTATGGTTTAGACACAGCCAACAAAGATAATCAAAGTCGTGGGTCATCGAAGGCACACACTCAATTCTAGAAATGGACAAAAAAATAGGATACCCATTTTTTGTGGCTTCTAAAGAACTACAAATAAGTTGATTGAAAAAAAAAAAATTGCACAGCCACGTGACTTTTGGTATCTTTATCTTCCTCTATATTTCTTCTTCCTTCCCAGTACACTTTCGGTTTCGGTTTCAAGCAGTTGCGTTTTTTTACTTTATTGAAATATACATGACACTGTAGCACAAATTTTTTGGGGCAGTCTTCTAGCACCATGATATATCGCCTGGCAAAAAAAAATTAAATATTTTGGGGGGTGTCAGTGTCCCCTGTCGCCGACTAGAGGGTGTCAGTCAAGAGCAAGAATAATCAAGCACATACAGCCATAATGCAAGTAGCCATTGAAGACAATGCTTGAAAAAGATTGAGTACCTATTACTCAGTGAAAACCCAGAGTGATAAGAGATAGCATAAAATCTGGTTCTCATAAATGTATGTGGGAACATTTAAACCTTCAGTTTTAAAGATTTTCCAAACATTAAGAATTCACAATAGTATTGACCTCAAATTCGGACATCAATTTCATGATATGTTCTAGTAATATAATAGATTTTGAGTTTGAACCTAATACAAAGTGAACGCTGGTTTGGGCCAAATATTTCCAAAGAGGTTTCTACGAGCCTTTTAGTATTAAACGAGAGCCAAGGTGAACCCTTCGAGGTTGTTCCCAAGCTTCCACTTGCCCATTTATTGTCTATGTTAATTTTAATCTACCGTAATTATATCTCTGAGCTTTCACCACAGGAAGTGCAATGCCTACATTGGAATGACATATAAATGACCCATTTGACATAAAAATAAACCTATTGAGATGTCCGGCTATCGAGATGTATAAATCTTCTTCCTATATGAAAATGCCTCTTCATCAATCTCAAATTTGAAAAAAAACAAAACGACAATTACAAATGATTCATGCGGATTGTCAAATTATCCCTGCTTAAAGTGTACTCTCGCGTAATACGGCGAGCAAGCATTTCAAAATATGTCTTTTGCACCTCGGAACGCAAGGAGGAGCATGCAAATCAAAGAGCAACAGAGAGAATGCATAGGGAACGCGCTATGCGTTCTGCTCGCTTCGCCGCAGCTCAGCCACGGCATGTCACGAATTCGGGACATACTAGTTATATGCATTTTATAAAAAGTGGCCTTTATCTAAGTGACCGATGTCGCCTGTCGTGAAATCGCAACATATGCGCCAATGCAAAAGAGACATCTAGATAAGATGTTGTTTTTAAAAGTCTTTCTAAAATGTCTATAGTCCTAACTTGCTTCTCAAGCTGCCGTTCGCATTCATTTGGATCTTCCTGATGAAGAAAAATGCTTTGCTCCCTTTATCGAAAATTCACGACATTCAGGAAAGTGCACATGTCGCATTTTGAGCTATGTTGAAAAAGTACTGTCAGCTTGTAAATTAATTTCAATGAAAGATAATTTATACCGGAAGAACCCTAGAGCTCTTTTTCATCTCAGCTCGTAATGTAGAAACGATGGCGGCCCACCAAATACGATCCTGACGATGATATCCGCACCAACACCACGGGAGTATGGCCGGTGGTAAAGTACACGAAACAGCAGTACAAGAAACTGGGTTATAAAGGACACTCTGTCATAATGTGCAGCAAATTCAATGCTCATCTTGAACAAGCTTTCCAACAGTTTAAACGAAAATTTTAAAAGGTTTTCGCCCCAGTCTCGGGTAATTCATCAAGGTAGTTTAAACGAGTTTCTGCAGCCGTAAAGCTTGAGCCTAGATGCTTTTGGCACTCTGCTAGTTTGTTTTTAAGCAGATAAAGAGTGACGTCTTGTCCCAATAACTTGGAGGCTTTTTTCTGTACATTTATTTATGAGGAAAAATTTAATTCTATTCATGTGGCACAGAAAACATTCACTGTGCTGTGGCCTGTTGTCACGAATTTGCGACATACCCCATTTCATAAAATGGCATTCTCGTCAAAAATGCCATTGAGGCTATCTTTCTTGGGGCACCTTAAACAACACTTTCCTGAAAAATATTTTTTTTTTCACAAGGTTTAATAATAATTTATCTGTTAAAGGGTTAAGAGCACATGTTCAAAGCAAAACGGCACATTCGTGTGCCGGGTGCATTAAAAAAAAAAGAATTTACATTGCAAATTTGCAAAATTAGACTTTGGCTATTATGCAAGACTTTATGTTACGAAGCAATGTCCTGACAACCTGTTCTCATCATTTTTTTCTTCTTAAGTTCAAGTTTGAAGGAGAAATACTTGCACATAGCAAGAAGACTTATATCCCCTCAATCAGGTATAGCTGCACACCTCTGTAAATTTTATTTTATAGCAAATCCAGTTTTCTTTTCTTTTTTTTAAACTTCAATGTAGGCCATTAATAGTCCATAAAAACAGTTAGTTAAAATTAACTGATCTTACAAGTGGACAAGAGGAAGCCTGGGAACAACCTTCATGAGTGCAGCTGGAATTTTGTTCGAGCATGGTGCAACAGCAGTGAAAGGCGTGATGATAGGTGCAGCAACTATTTAATATTCAATTTAAAAATATTGGGTCAAAACCAATATTCGCTTCGAATTCGCTTCAAACTCAAACCCGTTATTCGCACATGCCTACAATTTCCACCACCTTTTCCCAGTAGCTCAACAAACTCAGACGGTGGTCCCGCTTTTTCGGACTTCTCACAAGGGGTTCCAACCTGTCCGTTGCAGAGCAGCAGCAGCCTGTCGAACATGTAGAAGATCTGACTGGAGGGCTGGTGAACCGTCACCACCAAGGTCTTGTTCTCTTTGTGGGCATACTCCTTCAGCGTGGACATAAGTGAGTGTGCTGTGCTGGAGTCCAGGCCAGACGTCGGTTCCTGCAGAACACAGTCTTGAGGACCCTGCCCCAAAGAGCTTTCCAGACAGTACTTAGAGCTCACCTACCACTTGGCACTCTTCCAGCACAGCCTAATCGCGAAGGTACACAACTATGCTTTCATTTCGTTCGAGTTCCTTCCTCATTAAAGCAACACTCAGAACACTCTTCACCTACTGTTTAAGCGACAGGCAAATAGCGGGGTTTCTGGTTAGCGGGGCATCAAACCAACGAAGATCAATATTAAGAAGCCAACAGGTTGCAACAAGACACTCATGACAAAGTGACTGTATGGTATAGAACTAATAATAGCAATTAAGGGTAGTAAGAAAACATATGTCAGTTAAAGGCCATAAGTCCCATACTATGCTTTCTCAGTCAATGAAATTACCGCCGCAACCTGTTTTATAACCTTGACATGGAAACCAGCTAGTACCAATATGAAAGACCCGAAGAAATAGAATGAGAATGTGGCATGCCCTGCCACACTTCTGGAGAAGTGACGAGAGCAAGTACAGTTCAAGAAAATTTGTTACAATTGTTTCTCATCTTGTCGTCTGCACTCTGTAATATTGTGGACAAAGAGACTACAATATTGGTGTTACCGAAAAAAAAGTAACGAGTGACGTAGTTCGTTACTTTTTTTTCGGTAACACCAATATTGTAGTCTCTTTGTCCACAAAAAGTAACGGATTACCGTCCTATGTTACTTCAAAATTAAAGGAGTGCGTTACCCATTAACGTTGTTACCTTTGCATTACTTTCTTAATTATGAATTCACGCATTTTACTGTTTTGGCATTGGAGTTACGCATAAGTGCCATATTTCAAGAAACATTATGTTCATGCAAGCAGACACTGAACATAATTAATTACTTTATCTTTTTTACAGTTTCACCTAAATATTCACAAGAAAAATTGCAAAGAAAAGCACAAAAGCCTACAAAATCCACATGGCAACTGGCACCTAGGAGACGAAAAAAATTGAAATGTAATTTTTCGAAGATTTGGGAAGAAAAAGTAATGAGTGAGGTAACACCATTACCCGTCATTCGAAATGAGTAACGTAAGTATGTTACCCGTTACTGTTTTAAAAAGGTAATGAGTATACACTTTACCGAATAAAAGTAACACACTACCGGTAACACCGCTACATGTAACGCGTCACTGCCAACACCGGATAAGGGCTCTATAACGTCCCATGACAGACAAGGAGTGGTGCATGAACTCTATCTAGGTGTCCTTGTAGAGGCCCACTCACATCGATGAGCATAACAGTGGGGTTGGTGAGCAGCTCGCAGGCGATGTTGGCCCGCTTCTTCTCTCCTCCGGAAAGGCCTCGCTTCATGACATCCCCGATGACTGCAAGAAAGGACAAACATGACAAAAACTGAGCATCAGCCAAACAAATAAAGCTACAGCCGACTCCTCACTATCACACAACGTTGGCGCAAGCCGGGCATCTGTCATCTAAGCAAACTGTGTCTGTGAAAGCATGTAGAGTTGCAACCAGTCAAAGAAGGCTGTCATACGATGGGCGAAATACAGCTTCAATTAGTCATATTCAACCGGTTTTTCTGCCATGTCCAAACTTCCAAATGTATATCGAAACTATAAGAAGGTTAGGCTTGTGCAAATATTTAAATTTTCGAATAGTAGTTCGAATAGTAGAATAGTTAATTGTTGATAGCGGTGGGTTAGCTTAAAAGTAAAATGTGACACTCATTAATACTGTTTGCAAAACCTTATAGAGATGTGTTCTACAAGTTGAATTTAATTGCGTGAATCCAAACTTCTTCCTTTGACACTGCTATTTGTGCAAAAAATGTCCCTCACACTTTTGCAACTTCCCTAATAGGTTTGAAATGAATTAACCATTCATTTAATCTAGTATTTCTCCATTTATTAAAATCACATAAGGAGACATCTATACATGTGTAACTCACATCTGCCAACCCACAAAATAATGATTAAACTTGCTTTAATCTAGATTTCAACAATTTACAAGCTGCCCTGCAACTCTGTAGTACGTTATTTTCCCCTATGCATACTATCCTTCCAAAAAAAAGTAGGAGATAAAATAATCTGCCAGTAAAATGGCATTATTTAATTACATCAATTGCAAACATTACATTAAATTTGCTTCAATCGCGATTGGAAGCCTTTCGAAACTTGCATGTGCACCACACTCCCAATAAAATGATTAATTGCATTATGTATATGTTTATACAGCTGGAAGTTAATCAGCCCCAATCCGTGTTTGGTGTATCAGCTGTAGATGAGCAATTTACTCAGTGTAGCACAACTGCTAGCCTGGGGCCTTTAACGTGCACCACGCAGTAGTGATACACGACCTCATGCCGGTACGATGCTCATCTAGACAGAAACAGGCAGGGGTGGGGATTGAACCCAGGATTCCTGGGTTCTGTAGTGGGAGCTGTTGCCACACATGCTCCGAGCTGGAGTGCGCTAGCCCACTCGACCACCGATCCCCCAAACTCCCAGAAGAAAAAAAAAGTTTATGTAGTTCAAATAGACCAACATGCACATGGGGAAACGAATGACATAGATTTGTCATCAGGACACTATTTGTCATTAGGACACTATTTGTCATTAGGACACTATTTGTCATTAGGACAAACCTATAGGGTCATTTGATTTTATGTGCTGTCTAGTCAATAAACCACAACAACCGGTTTGTTCAGTGCATATATATTAATTATTTTCGGAAAGATCCAGGTAGCTGGTGCATGCATGTTTTTCAAACTTTCAGTCTACAAAGTGGAGTCTAAAATCTGGTTATTTTCCTATAAATTCAGTGTCCCATGCTCGACATCTGTGGCCCTCACAATCGCAGCTATGACCCCACACCTCTGCTACTTCCTAAGCTGAAAGCATGAGGGGATTTTAATGTGGTGACTGTGCACACTGAGGGTCAGACTCAAACTGACTCAGACAGCCCGTGTCAGGCGTGATGATCATGTTGACGTTGTTGATGGAGATGAAGACAAAAGGATGGTGATCATTACGGTGATCAACATTCATTTTAACAGTACAAGAGAACTTGAAATCGCAGTTAGCTGATGCATTTGAAGAAAATAAAATGCCTTACTGGTGCAAAATGCTAAGTTTCGTTCTCGGCAGAGCACTCCACTGTGCAAAAACGGCCTTTTCTTTTGAAGGTTGAACCGGAGTAATCTTGAATATCAGGAATTAAAAAGCATACATACATCGTCTTCATCTCACTGGGACGCTAAAGCTGACATCGTAGTCGATTCATGGAGGCATGCGGTTTAGAGAAGCTCGTTTTAGCGAACCCCGTTTTACCGACCCCAGTTTATCGAATCCCTTTATAGAGAACCCAGTTTATAAAAAATGGCTATGAGCTTTCTTTTAGCGAATTCGGCCGCCGCGAAGCGGCGTGTACGGGTAAGTCAGGTGAGTTAACATTTTTGTAATGAGCCGCCGCAGACTGCCGCCGCGAAGCGGCGGGAGCGCAGCGGGGGGACTGGGTTAACACGCGCACCAGTGATACACGCGAGAAGAAGGAAGGCCTCTTTTTTTTTTTTTTTTTTTTTAAGTGTCCCTTTTTAATAAACGGCATTTCTCTGAACTGAGGCTCTGCTTTCTCTAAACCGTGCTTCGATAAAACGTGCCCATTCTCTAAAACGTGCTTCGATGAAATGGCATTCGATCAACCGTAGTAAATCCGTCAGTTCATACAGTCCAATAAGTCGCGACGACACAACAAATAAACAACACCCTATTTTTCTCTTCTGGCGTTACAACCAGCGGATTCTAATGTGGAAACTCACTGGTGTCCTGACACCTTGTCAGGTCGAGGACATCGATGATCTGGTTCACATGCTCCATCTTCTCCTGGTTGGACATGGACTCTGGAAGCCGTAGCCGTGCCGTGTACTGCAACAGAACCGCACCAAAATCAGCTCTTGCCCCTTTGGAAAACACTCGCGCGTAAAATATATATATATATTTTTTTTTTACTTTGCCTAAAAGTGTTCAGAATCAACACTCCGTGTTTGTAAAGCATAAAACAGACACTTATATTTGTTTACACGTTCGGGTTTTTGCAGAAAGTGCATTGCCTCACCTTCCTTTCCTTCCATGAAACGTTTTCTCAAAATATTTTTGTGCCTGTACAGGACACGCATGTCCTAAAATAAATTTTCACCGAAAAAAACAATTGAATTAAACTAACTTTTATTTAGAAATTTGTTACGGGATATACGTGCTTTTTACAGGCACTAAACATTGCAGTTCAGTATTGTTTTCATTTTTCTTCAGCGAAGATATGTTTTCGAATTAGTACGTGCCTTTGACAGGCACTTAAAAATATTTTGGGGAGAACATAAAGCGAAAAGGAACGGATAATCTCCGCAGCCGGTTTCGCCAGAGATCGAACACAGAGGGGCCACAAGGCGCAAAAGTCGCAAAACAGCAAAAAGAAGCAAAGATGTGCAATGCAGTCCCGGCTCCGGGGACATCCTAGACGTCCCTGGGGCCGTGACCCAGTGCGCCATGGCTGGACAATCGGACGCGGGAGGAGAGAAGGACCATTCGGCTCTTGACCGCAAACTTCCATCTCAGGGTCCCCTGAGGACCCTCAGGGTCCTAAGGGTCTTCAGGACGAAAGGTCTTGAAAGGGCGCTAAAGGGTCCTTAGGACCCTGAAACGGCAACTCGCGGTTGCGGAGTTAAAGAAGGCCACGAGCCTACTACTTCCCCGCAGCACACCGAGTAATGACATTTTAACACAACATGTTTCATGGCTGGGATCACGAGAAAACTGTGACGTGAAAAAAAAAAAAAAAAGAAACTCACGAAAAACCGTGACGTCATGAAAAACCGTCGCACGCTCGCCAAATTTAGGGGACCCATACGTCTCGATAACTTTGGCGAGGCGTATGTTCCCTAAGTTTAGTGGGCAGTGTTCACCTGACGTCGTAAGCATGGTGGTCGTCATGCGACACCATGAAATCACGTGAGACAGGTGTCAGGTGACATCGTGTCGTGTTAACCAGGTAAAAAAAAAAAAAAAAAAAAAAAAAACAAGTCGCACATTCTGTCCCGGCTTTATCCACGGATACAACGTACGCGACTTTATTTTTCCTTTGATATTAAAAGAAAAGAAAGAGATCGGGCGACAGATCCCTGGCTTGACCTGATATTTTGACTCCTGGAAAGCGATCCGCTCTTGGACACTGGTTAGAATGTCACATGCGGACAGTTTTCCAGCTCCGGTGTCAACTGTAAAGGGGCCCGGAAAGAAGAACAAATCTAATGGGTGTTTCGAACGAACGAAGCATCAATCAGTTGAAAACACGAGCGTTTCGTGACGCCTACGTTGACAGCATTGAAGCGTGGGATAATGACGACATTGGCATCCAGAGACAGGACTGGCTGAAAAGGTGCGCTCCTTGTAGTGCATTTGAGCGCGTGATTACCGGTCGGATCTATCGTCAGACCTCCCATTACATTATCAGCGGGGCGTTCACACCCTCTTAACTAAATCACAATTCCGGACTGTTAAAAAAAAAGAAAAGAGGAACGAACATCGTTTGTGGTGGTCGCCCTTGTCGTTTCGGGTGTCTGTTGGTTCATTCCAACCTAGTCATAAACACATAAAAAAGAAAACAATACCCGTAATTTTGAATGTATGTTCACAATCATCGGGTTCAGTATTACGTTCTAAATAACTAACTTTTAGTCATTATTTTTCTTCAGCGTTAATAGAGTTAGGCGTAGTTTAAAATAGACGAAACTCACCGCACAGTTCTCAAGCTAGGGCGTCTTTTTTTAAGTCTCATACTTTACTGGACTCTTAGTTGGTTACAAACGGTGATTGGCTTTCTACGCGATCTCTGGAAAAGAAGGCACGTGGGAATCTTCGTGACTGTGGTCTGCCAATATAGACCAAAGCACAATGTTTGTACAGTTGGTGGTTGCTTTCCCAGACTAGACGCAGCTGAAAACCAGGGCCGGCCCTACGCCGTCAAGTGCCCCTGAGCAAACTCCGGCCGTGCCCCCCCCCCCCCTTTTTTTTTTCTTTTATATGCCCCTATTTACTAGGTACGACATCACGTTGCTAGTAAACATGGGAGTAGTGGTCCAAAACGAGCGCTTTGTGAGACGAGAACCCCATTCCAAAACAGAACGGCGATCGAGCATATAGCATCTGTCGGGCGCCATGTCCAAATCAATCAAAAAGCAAAAAAAAAAAAAAAAAAAAAAAAAGGTGCGCGGCGGCGTTTTTTTTTTTTATGGCGCCCGGGGCGATTACTCAGGTCGCCCACCCCTAGGGCCGGCCCTGTCTGAAAGAATAAAACGGAACTTTTAACTTGGATTTCAAAAGTCAGAATATATATATACAGTATATATTTATTATGATGATGGAACATGCAAAAGAAATACCTTGAAGAACATTATACAATCATTTTAATTCGATATGCACCTGACCAGTGGCACCCACCATGTCTTCGATCGACAGGGTGCTGGCGAACGCTGCACGGTTACAAGCTCGACAGCAAGCTGGGAGGCATCAAGAAACGCTTTTGCGAAGACCGCCGCCCGGACAACACTGCGGCGCCAACCCCTGAAGCACCACTACGAGGGTGCTGGACTCCCTGCGTCGCCGGAAATTCGGCCGGATCGTCTGCATGCTGAGCAAGCAGGGAGCCCTCGTCAGGCGCTCGAGACTGGCTTGCTAGAAGTCAGCAGCCCATGGCAACCCCGCGAAGATACCGTCGCGAAGACCGCTGCTAGGCCTGACGCTCTTCGCCCTCTTCATCATCTCGTCATCATCGTCGTCATCCGCACGATTCGTTTGGACAATACCATTTCATCATTAATAGAGGCGGCGCCGCAGGCCTTCAAGATACAGGCCCTTTTCCTTTCTGAAGCGCCGCGGCTCTCCTGAGTGGAATTAATTTTATAATTTATCATATCATATATTCTCCGCAGTGCGAGGGAAGCGAAGTACCTAGCTTCGATATATGTCCCGGCTCCATATGGCAAGGAAGTCTGCCGAAGTCATCTAAGGATCCGTAGCCACGTTTCCACAGTCTCCTGACTGCAACCCTTGCCGCGGCGTTTGCTTGCCCCCAAATCCGAGCCGTGAAGGTCGCTTCGCCTTTGGCATCCGTGCCGCAGGAGATGCCCACTTAACGGAACTGGCCGAAGACGAAACCAAACACTGTACGCGTTCTCCGCGTAGTTCTGTCGGTCTCGGACCATCAAAGTGTGTGCGCGTGTGCGTGCGTGTGCGCGTGTGCGTGCGTGTGCATGCGTGTGTGTGTGCGTGTGTATCTATATACAGGGTGTTTCAGGGAACGCAGGCGAAATCGCTCCTGCAAAAACTACTCATCGCAACGAAAAAAGGCTTGTGGCGTTTTGGTCCTGGGACAGGGGCCCATTTAGGAAAATTATTAAAGTACGGGATAATTAAGTTTTTAATTATTTTGGCGTAATTAACTTTTTTAATATTGTGTTTAAGGGCATGGTTTCAATTAGAAAATTGCTCAGCATCATCGAAAAACACTAAATCAACAAATTGCAGAACGATAGAAGGCACGCGAAGCATTTTACGGCTTTCTGAAAAACCGCACAGATTCGACCGGTTTTTTAAGTTTCGGTTTGCTATCCCGAAACTTAAAAACCGGTCAAACATGTGCGCTTTTTCAGAAAGCCGTAAAATGCTTCGCGTGCCTTCTATCGTTCTGGAATTTGTTGATTTAGTGTTTTTCGATGATGCTCAGCAATTTTCTTATTGAAACCATGCCCTTAAACACAATATTAAAAAAAATTAATTACGCAAAAATAATTAACAACTTAATTATCCCGGACTTTAATAGTTTTCCTAAATGGGCCCCTGTCCCAGGACCACAACGCCCCAAGCCTTTTTTCGTTGCGATGAGTAGTTTTCGCGGGAGCGATTGGGCCTCCGTTCTCTGAAACACACTATATATATGTATTCGGGTATTTTTAGCATACCCGGAAAAATTATCATACGTTCATGGGCCGGGAAATCTCGGTGGAGACGTTTATGTGACGGCACGTGTGCGGGGCCTTTCTCACGGAGTAAAACCATATGTAAAAGATGCTGGATGTTTTTTTTGTTTTTTTTTAATAAGATGGCTCGTGAGAGTAAACAGGGCAGCGTTGATCCGGTATACAGTCGTGGCCAAAATAAATAGAAACAGAGGAGCGCGTGGGCCCTAGACATCTTGAGCCTGCAGATCCTTCTAGCGGAAATGGGTGGTATTCCGCGGCGAGATTTTTATCGGTGTTTCGCGCCGTGGCATTATCCCACACGACGTTCCCTGGACTTAGTCTGTGCGTCTGAGCATTCTCCATAACGTCACAAATAAAAAAAAAAACTAAATAGGACGACGAGGAAGCTCCTCGTAACAAAGCGGCAATACGGCTGAAGATGGTTTGATCGATATATCGAAACACCACTATAAAAGCTTTTAAGTTGAGCTTTTAACCAACTGTACGATCTAGGATCCCGCCGATACTAAACAACTACCATTAACTAAATCCTGTTTTTTTACGTTGCATCGCGTAAAAACTACCGCTATACACCAAATATTAAACCAATAACAAAAGAAGCACGCTATAAGGAGTAGCGACATCACTGATAACGAGTTGTTTATAGGCATTCTATAATAAAGATATGATGATAAAGATAGAGGAGATACCAAAGATGTCCTTCATGTTCAGTAAATAATTGGAACAGAAATATACATCTAATATAGTAGTGCTCGACAATGCAGAACGATATTGTCTCTCACATAAAGAAGCAATAAGGATACTAGAGTATTGTGTAAAAATATTTTACCACGTTTTAAAATTTTCATGCTCCCTTTCTAGAGAAAGTGAGAAACTATTTTCATGTTTACA